GACGGCCGCGGAAGTGGCATACTGCTCGCCGGCCACTTCAGAAACAAAACGCCCGCCCAACACTTCACCCCTGGCTTCCATGCGACGCAGAACGGGAACGATCTCTCGCCAGGGCGGGGCGGCCGCCTCGCGGGCCAGCAGATCGCGGAAAACCACTCCGTAGCGAGCCAGCAACACTTTGGCCCACGCTTCACCCCTTTCAGTAGCGTTCTTCGCCGTGCTGCGACGCGGCAGCAACGACCATCTGCCGGCGGCCTTCGAGGACCGGCTGGGCAACCGGTTGCGGTGTCTTCGCTGATGATGCACCCGCGCCCGACGGCGGCTGTCCGGAGAAATCCGCGTTCGAATGGCCCCCAATCCATCGGCGGTGACCAGCCCCAAGCCGATGAGTTGATCCAACGCGTCTTCCAACTGCGCCGGCAACAACTGCGTGGCGGCCAGCAAGTCTTCCGTGAATTGGGCTCCATCGCTCCGCAAGCATTCAAGCACATCGAGGGCATCACCTGTGCAGGATGCTTCGTTCTCGGGCGTCTCTGGCAACAAGCGACGCCATTCGCTGCGGGGTACGAAAGCAAACGGAACCGAGGCCGTTAAACGAATGCGGCCAGTCGTGTCTTCGGCACCTTGAGGGCTACGCAGCCGGCCCCAAATAACCTCGCCGTGCATCGTCAGGTCGTCCAGCCATCGTGGGTCGTACTCCTTTAGCCGCGACGGCAGGATGTCTGACTCCCAAGCGGATGCGGCCAGCTCGAACCCCTGCAGTTGCCACAAGACCTCGTTCAGCGAATGCCGACCTTCGAGCCGACTACGTTCGGCCACGTGCTGGTAATCGCACAAAAATCGCAGAAAGACTTGTGGCTCCACCGGACGTACGCGCCGCCGGGCCCCAGCCAGGGTAAGCCGATGAATGCGCGCCAGAAGTCGCCGCTCGCACCATTCTTCCCGTTCCTCGGGATCGATGCCATTCGAATTCGAACCGGACGTCGGTAACGCTTCGAATGTACCCCGCATCGCCTGCCCACTGGCTTCCAGCGCTGCTAGTGCGGCTTGAACGGATGTGGCAGAAAGGGCTAAGTCGGTCCCAATGCGAGAGACGGTGGTAGGTCCGCGGAGTTCGATATACCCCCGCACGAGATCGGTTACAGCTTCACTCTCACTCGGCCGTTCCAGCAGGCCCTCTGGTAACGCAAGCCGCGGGAGTGCCGTCACACTGGGATAAATCGATTCGATCCACGGCCACCGCTCGGCGGCAACCCACATTCTGCGACCGTCGACTATAGTTGCTTCATACGCCCGACCTGAGTTGCATAGTTCTTCAAACCACTCGCGCCAGGGTTGGCCCTCCTCAGCAGGCAGGGCGACCATGGAAAGCAATGCATCGTGAAGCTCATCGGCGTCTCGCACCAGCGGCCATGCCTCGCGGCGGACTTGTGCGATCGCTTCCGGGTCGAGCCGGGCCAGGTCGCGAACATCCTCGGGCGAGAACGACCGCCGCGTGGCGACTGCCCGGGCCCGACGTTCTTCCAGCGGGGCGTCGTCTAGGAAGGCGTACGGGTTGGCGTTGAGCAACTCATGACTGAAGGGCGAGGGCTCGCGGGTATCGCGCCCCACTAACGTAACAGTCCCTTGTTCGATTTCGCCCAGCAGCTCCATCCAGCGAGGCAGGTCCATGGCTTCGTGCAGACAATCGCCCACGGTTTGGGCCACCAGCGGATGATCGGGAATCTCGATATCGCCCACCACGTTTTCAAGGCAGGCGGTGCTGCTGGGGAATACGGCCGTGAGAATATCATCTGCCCGAAAGCGCTGCAGCGGCGGCGGAACTTTCTTGCCGCCCTGCCTCCGCAAGACCGCCAACGCTCGCGTGGCATTCCATCGCCAGCGAATCAGGAACATCGGCGAGTCCAATAGTGCCTGCTCCAAGATGTGCTTGGCGTTGGCAGGATTGACCATGCGGAACATATCCTGCAACGCGAAACTATGCTGCGGTCCCAGCGAAAGAACAATTCCGTTGTCGTCGGCCGAGGCTTGAAGCTCGAAATTGAATGAACGGCAAAACCGCTTCCGCAAGGCAAGCCCCCAAGCACGATTGATGCGGGCACCCAGTGGAGCATGAATCACGAGCTGCATACCGCCCGACTCATCGAAGAACCGCTCGAAGATGATTTGCTTTCGCGTTGGAACGATGTTCAGTGCTGCAAGTCCTGCCGCCACGTATTCGACCGCCTGAGCGGCAGGAAACTCCTCGGTACCACATGCCTCGCGCAGCCAACGTGTGGCGGCCTTCTGGACTTCGGCGTTCTCAACCCCCGTGGCTAATAGTGCGGCCAACTCGGCTCGCAATTGCGAGAGCTGCGTGGAAAGCTCATCGGTGCGTCCGGGGGCCTCTCCGAACCAAAATGGGACGTTCGCCGGGGCCCCTTCCGCATCGCGAACGGTCACTTCACCGCCGCGAACCGATATGATCTGCCACGAGGTATTTCCCAGCAGGAAGATATCGCCGGCCATGCTTTCGATAGCGAAGTCTTCGTTGACGGTCCCCACCAGCGTGCGGCTGTTCTCGGTGTAAACAAAGTAATCGGCGTTATCGGGAATGGCTCCGCCGGAAGTGACGGCGGCGAGGCGAGCACCTCGACGGGGTCGCAGCTTGCCGTTGATGCGGTCGCGGTGCAGGTAGGCTCCGTAGCGGCGGCTTCCCTCGATCCCGTCGGCCAGCATCGCCAAGATCGAATCGAACTCTTCTCGCGGCAGATTACGAAACGGAAACCCGCGGCGGCACAACACAAACAGATCATCTTCGTTCCACTCATCGACCGCCACGGAAGCGACAATCTGCTGGGCCAGAATATCCAGCGGCTTCTCGGGGATTTCAACCTGATCGAGTTGCCCCGTGCGAACGGCCCGAAGTAGAGACAAGCCTTCTAACAAGTCGTCGCGGGTGAGCGGAAACAACCGCCCCTTCGGCACAGCACCCAACGAGTGCCCTGCCCGACCAACGCGTTGCAACAAGGTAGCAATGGAGCGCGGCGAACCAACCTGACAGACAAGATCGATGTAGCCAACATCGATGCCAAGTTCCAACGACGCGGTGGCTACAATCGCTCGCAATTCACCAGACTTCAACCGTTGCTCGGCACTCAGGCGCAGTTCTTTCGACAGACTTCCATGGTGGCTCGCTACGGCTTCGGCCCCCAGAGTTTCGCTCAGCCGATGGGCCACACGTTCTGCGAGCCGGCGGGTGTTGACGAAGATCAGCGTGCTTCGATGCGTCGAAATCAGCTCGACGATCCGCGTATAGACTTCGTCCCATTGCTCGTTCGAGCAGACGGCCGAGAGTTCGCTGGGGGGAACTTCGACGTTCAAGTCCAGCTGACGCAGGTGTCCCACATCGATCATGCGGCAACGTTCGTGAACCCGCTCAACGTCTGACTCGCCAACTAGGAACTGGGCGATGCGATCCAACGGGCGCTGCGTCGCTGAAAGCCCGATTCGGGTGGGCCGCTTCTCGCACAATGCGTCGAGCCGCTCGAGCGTGAGTGTGAGGTGCGAACCGCGTTTGTCGCGGGCCAAGGCGTGGATTTCATCGACGATCACCGTGTTGGCCGTGCGAAGCACTTCGCGGGCTTTCGGTGAGGTGAGCAGCAGATACAGCGACTCGGGCGTGGTGACCAGAATATGCGGGGGCTTGCGCAGCATCGACTGACGCTGGGAGCTTGGCGTATCGCCGGTGCGGAGCCCGACTCGGATGGGCTCAATGGGTAAGCCGGCCTCGGCGGCCGCGGCTTGAATCTCCTGAAGCGGCCGCTCCAGGTTGCGATGCACGTCGTTGCTGAGAGCCTTGAGCGGCGAGACGTAGATGACTTGGGTGCCGGGTTCCAAAGTGCCGTCGATCGATTGTCTCAACAGCCGGTCGATACAGACCAGGAATGCAGCCAGCGTCTTACCCGAGCCGGTGGGGGCAGCGATCAACGTGTCGCGACCTGAAAGAATCTCCGGCCAGCCGAGCCGTTGCGGTTCGGTGGGCTGGCCAAAGCGATCTTCGAACCAACGTTCGATCAGGGGATGAAAGATTCCGAGGCTCATCGGCGACTGCACACCTTGGAACTGCAACAAATCACATATCTGTCCAGGTGTTCAGCATACCGGGTGCGAGGCGGGCTGTGAATCGTCGGATCAGGGGGGATGCCCTAAGTCTTACAACTCGCGAATCTTAATGTCTTTGTACCAGGCTTCCCCGGGTTGGCCGGCATGGATTTGCAGACCGATAAGACCACGTTGCTCGAGCGATTCGTCGGGCTCGGTATAGTCGACCGTTTGATGGTCATTGATCCAAAGCTGCACGTGGCGACCTACACAACGAATGCGATACTCGTTCCAGCCTTCGCGATCGAGCACTTGGTCAAGCTCCTCTTCGTCGGTTCGAACCAACATTCGTCGACGGCGTGACTCGTCGTAGAGGCAGCCCCACCAACCATTCCCCAGGTCGGCTTGATAACCAATCATCTCGGAGTCTTCAGGAATTCGCCGGCTGCGGATTTGAACCCCGGCGTTGGTATGGTCGCCGACCAGTTTAAACTTCACCCGTAGTTCAAAGTCGCCATACTCCTTGTCGCTGGCCAGAAATTCGTTTCGCGGAATCGGTCGGTCGAGCGATCCACCCACAATCGCACCATCTTCGATGCGGAACCAATCGAGATTACCGTTCCAGCCATCGAACGTGCGACCGTCGAACAGTGAGTGCCAATCCCTCTCTGGCTCCGCCGCGGTTGCACTTGTTACGTGGACCGCGAGACAGACACACAGGATCATCCAGACGATTTGACCACGATGTTTTTTGGGTACCTGCATGTTTGGCTGCCCTCACTTCAAGGATGGTTGCATGAGGTTGGCATCAATGAGAACGCCCCAAGTGTACCAACCCTATGAAGAGAATTGAAACACTTGGAGCGCACAGATTTCGGTCAACGAACAGGCTCAGTCAGGACGCATAGCCCAAACCGCTACTTTACCGACTGCGTGACAGCGGAGAAGATCGTGGTGAGGGCTTCGATCATCTTGTGCTCGTCAATCTTGCTGTCCGGATCGTTCCAGTAAACATGGAAGGTATACCATTTGCCGTTACGGTTTTTCAGCAACCAGTTGCCGGCGATGAGCTGATCTTCCGAGCCGCCTTTAAACCCTACGTAGGGCCACTCTTCTGGATTGTGCGGCAGCTTGGTCTCGACAGCCATCACGCCGCGAATCGCGTTAGCCGCGTCGTCCTCAGTGGTATTCTGTTGGAGCCACACCAAAGTGTGGGCCATGTCCATCGGGGTGGCATACCATTCGGCCAGGTCGTAGTTGGCAGTATCGAAGTCGAGCTCGTCGTAGTCAGGTTGAGCGGAGAGCTTCTCGGCGAGGAATTTCCGTTTCCCCGCTACGTCCAGCTTCTGGTACTCGAGCCCAGGAGTATCTTTGTTCTTGTCGCGGAGCATCGTCATTTCGCGGGTAAACAGCAACGGAATGTTCCACTCGGGGTGCTGATCGCCCATGACGGTCATCTGTTCTTCTACACGGGTTCGCCCCAACAGATGCAGGAGATGATCGGTGGCCGTGTTATCGCTGATCGAGATCATCTTCAGGGCGAGCGTTTGCAGGGTGACGGGAGAACCCATCGGCCAATCGGCCATCTCGCTGTGGGGAGGGCCGACGAACTGCTTCTCGAGCCGCATGATGTTATCGAGGGCGCGACGATCATCGTTCACTTCTTCAGCCAAGGCACCGAGGATGAACAGCTTGAAGCTGGAGCCGACGGCAAAGCGTTCGTCGGAGCGAACGGCGCCCAGCGTCTGGGGCTTCCCGTCGACGATCTCGGTGAAGAGAAACCCAGTGTGACCTGGCAACTTCGACAGGGCCTGCTCGGCGACCACGTTCAGGTCGTGCGAAGGTGTTTGTTGGGCGGGCGATGTAAACAGCGCAGCACAAAGCAGCATCAGCGACCAGGACATGAGGCGTTCGCTCCGAAGACAGACGTATGCAGTAACACAACGGCAGACGTTAAGACGCGCCTGCCACTAGCGAAAGTATAGAACGACCCTCTGGGAGAGACCGACTCGCGACTTCGCACGATTCGCAGGCTTTGCTCGCCCCTAACCGGCAATGGCATTACAAGCCGCAATACAGGCCGAAGGTGAATAGCTACCTGCAGTCTGCTCGATGCAGAACTGCAACATGGCCTAATCCCGCAGTGTGATTGCCGCATTCGAAATCACGGTATGATCGCGTTCCTTATTGTGGGAGCTGATCACAATACGATTATCCTCTTTCCACATCGAGGTCACTATGGTGTCGCCGGGGATGACGACGCCACGGAACCGCACCTGGTATTTTGCTACCCGCGCTGTTTCTCCATCGAGCAGGTTGTCGATCACCTGTTTGCAGACGATGCCATACGTGCAAAGCCCATGCAAAATCGGCTGATCGAAACCGGCCACCTTGGCGAACTCAGGGTCGGCATGCAGCGGGTTCTTGTCGCCATTCAGCCGGTAAAACAATGCCTGCTGGGGGAAAGTCTGTGTCTCGACGACTAAGTCGGCCTCGCGCTCGGGCGGTTCGTTACCCGGCTTGGGTCCACTGGGCCCGCCGAAGCCGCCTTCGCCGCGCATGTACATCGAGAAGCGATTCGTGAACAACAGTTCGCCGCTTTGGTCTTTCGAGGTGGTCTCGAAGATCACTAGCGCAGCCTTCTCCTTATCGTAGATTTCGGCCACGCGACCGGTATTCGAAACGGTGGCCGCCGTGGGAATCGGCTTGTGAATCTCCAGCTCTTGCTCACCATGCAACAGCATGAAGGGGTTGAACTCCATGCCGGGAATCTCGAGCACGTGAGCCATCATGTCATGCACGGGGATAACACCCCAGGTGGGCAGAACCTTCAACAATCCCTCGTAGGTGTAAGCCAACTCGCGCGGATCGGTGGCCGGCACTCCGCACCCCAAACCAAGTTGATAGAGGATCACCTGATCTTCGTCCCACGTGAAATCTTCGCCAGGCAACTCGGCCCCCAGGGCACGCGAGGGATCGATTGGCATGAATTGCTCCTTGGTTGGTGTTGAAGTTCCGCTGATGTCCGCGTGAGTTGAATTTATTGTTGGAGCTGAGACACCAGCGCCATGATTTCGTCGGTGGCACTGCGGGGGATGGTAAACCCTTCGGTGTTCATCACGCCGTCGATATTGTCGCGAACACTCTCAGGCGAGGGGATTTTTGCCCCAGGGGCATTCCAGCCGGGAGCCTCGCCGACGAACACTCGGGCGTAACGACCACCGCCTACGGAAATGACCTCGTGCGAGAGCGAGCATTCTTCGGAAACCAAATAAGCCGCCAGTGGAGCGACGAACCCGATGTCCAAGGCATCGCCAAACGCACTCAGCACGTGTTCGCTTAACCGAGTCTTTGCGACTGGGGCGATGACGTTCGACTTGATGTTGTACTTCTCGCCTTCGATCGCCAAAACGTTCGAAAGTCCGACCAGCCCCATCTTGGCTGCTGCGTAATTGGCCTGGCCGAAATTACCAAACAGCCCGGCGGCAGACGTGGTGAACAACAAGCGACCGTAAGCAGCGTTCTTCATGAATTCGAAAGCACTTCGCGTGACGTTGAACGCCCCAATCAAGTGCACATCGATTACGGCCGCAACTTCCTCGGACGTCATCTTGGCGAAGCTCTTGTCGCGGAGAATACCGGCGTTGTTGATGACAATATCGACCTGGCCGAAGCTATCCAGGGCTGTCTGGATCATGGCGTTGCCGCCTTCGACGGTGGCCACCGAATCGTAGTTGGCGACCGCCTCGCCGCCGGCGTCTTTGATTTCCTGGACTACCTGGTCGGCCATGTTGCTGCCCGAGCCGGTGCCATCGACCCCACCGCCAAGATCGTTCACCACGACTTTGGCTCCCCGTTCGGCCAGCATCAAAGCGTAAGCTCGCCCCAGCCCGCCGCCGGCTCCGGTGATTACAGCAACCCGATTATCAAAACGCACATCGCTCATCGCGCGGTTCTCCCCAACAAGAGTTCATAAGATGACTGCCCATTATCGGGCGGCTGCAGGCGATGACAAGCACCTGCAGAGAGTGCGATGAAGAAAACAGCCCACCGCCAGAGAAGACCCAGCTTCAAGACGCAAGGCCAGTCAATAGTGAAACAGTTTCGCACAATTACGCGAAACGCACCGGGTCGCTTTCGCGCCGACTTGGCCAGATCTGACAAGCTGAGAATTGTGTGGCCAGAACTGCCGCCAGGTTTTCTACGGCGAAGCGTTCACTGGCGAAGTGGCCAAGGAGAACAACGCCCAGCCCAAGGGCCTCGGCGTGAAGGCAATCGTGGAATCGCATTTCGCCGGTGACGAAGCAGTCGCAGCCTTGTTCGGCGGCCGTGGTGAGAAACTCACCCGCCGAACCGCACCCGATGCCAACCCGAGTGACCGGTTGATCGGCATTCCCGACATACTGCAAGGCGTTCAGGCTGAGCGATTGTTTCAGGTTCTCGATCACCTTCTCGAGCGTCGACGGCTCGGGCAGTGTTCCATACCGTCCTGTGCCTGGAGAATTTGTCTGTGCCTGCACCGCGTCGTCGGCAGGGATTAGCGCTTCGACCTGTTGTAGCCCAAGCTGGTTGGCCAACTGCTGATTGATCCCCTCGGCCGCGGAGTCGAACGCCGTGTGGGGGCTGTAAATCGAAACGGCGGCACCGGCCAGCTCCCATAGCATTCGACCCTCGTTGGTCTCGGTTGAAAGACGCCGGAGCGGGCGAAACGGCAAGGGATGGTGAGTGACAATCAACCCTGCGCCTTCTTCCAGGGCTTCGGCCGCGCTATCAGGCGTGATCGTGAGGCAGGTCATCACCTTCTGAACTTCAAGGCTGCGATCGCCAACCAGAAGACCCACGTTGTCCCAATCGGCGGCCAACGTCGTGGGGGCGAATGCTTCTAGATATGCGGCGATCTCAGCAACGGTCGGCATCGGTTTAAGGCTCCGCAACGAACGTGTAATGCAGCAGGCGAGGGCCGTCGATCTCCTGGGCACGGAGCGACAGCTCGGTACCAATTAAATCACGTCCGTCCTCGATACGGTACACCTGAACGTCTGAGCCGTTCGAAAGTCGCACAATCTGCTTCCGCAGCGGGAGACGCCCCTGCGGGAATAGGTGGCATTTCAATGTGACGGGCGTCTCCACCCGATTGATCACCCGTTGCTGAACGATCAGTGCACCGTCGTCATCCAAGTAGCTCGACAGTTCGATCGTCACGTCGCCGTTGCCGACCGAGAGTTTCGGATAAGCACTAAAGCGGTAGCGGCGGTCGGCCACCACGTCGAACTGCACTTCCAGCGATTGCTCGCCCGTGTTGGCATCCAACGGCAGCGTCACCTCGATAGGAATCTCAACCTCACCTCCGATAGGCAATTCAACATCGAAGTTCGTCTGCGACATTCGCCATTGAGGCGGGGGCACAATGGTCATCGTTCCACTTACGCCCTGCCCGAAGGTGTTACTCACAATTAGTGAGTTGCTCAAAGGGCGACCGAAAATGGTGGGAATGTGATCTTCGCGGAAGTGCATGGCCTGCCGCCATCGGGTGATCGCCGTATCGAGACCGACCACAAATGACGGAAGCCGATCAACCTCGAACGATTGAGCGCTGCCAGTAAAGTGAAGTCGTGAGGCGCGTCCCCAGACATCGATCTGCTGTGCCTGCTCTCCGAGGGTCAGTGTTTCGCGGTGAGGCACCGGGGAGGTCGCGACCAGCATGGCGTCTGAGTCGCGGAGGAACACCTCATTCGTCGCTCCGCCCGGCAGCATCAACTGGCCAGCGTAGGTTGCATCGGCCAGCAGCATTGCGGTGGTACGCCACGGCAGAAGCAACTCACCGGGAGTGCCATCTTCGTTCATCAGGCCGTGCTCGGGGTCGAAAGGATCGACTATGAAGATGCCCTGGGCGCCGCCGATCTTCGCGGCCACCATCCGTTCGACCAGGTCTTTCACCCGCGTGAAGGTGGTGTACCGCGACTTGGCCAATGGTTCGAGATTTACCCACCGCTGAACTACGCCTGGATCATCCGTCGCCAGATAGGCCCGAAGTTCGTCTTTGCTCAAGGCCGGATCGGATGACAGCGACACGAACCGCCAGGGTAAATCGGTTCCGGCTGGCAGTTGTTCCTCCCACATCCACGGCAGACCAATCTGAAGATCCTGACCAATCACGTCGAGCTGTTGTTTGACCTGGGCCACACTTTCGGCCAACGCTGGCTGCGCGCCCCAACTCCAATCTCGATCGTCGCCCAACTGCCACATTCGGGTACGCATTAAGAACCGCGTCATCACCGGTTCGAGCGAGGGATACCATTGCTCGGGATTGCGAACGAAGACATCGGTGGCCAGCAGTGGTTGCTGTGGATCGTTGAACTGATTTCGCACCACATCCGGCGGAGTATTCAACAGGCCAATGACTTCGATTCCCTGCCGTGAAAGTTCTTCGACCGAAAGAATCAACTCCTCGACTTCTGCCGGCCGGTCCTCGGAAAACCACAGCGGGTACTTCAAGCGGCTGATACCCACGTGGGAGAGCAACTCAGGGAGTTCGCTCTCCGGGATCTCTCCCGAACCATGCGGCATGCTCCAACCAAACGGCCCCGGACGAACAATCACCCAGGGGTCGACGATGGCGACCGGAGTATACTCGCTGTGTGTGGGGCCATCGGGGCCAACAATTGTTGTTCGTACGACGAAAAACCCTGGGTTCCGAATTCGCGGGTGCCAGGAGAACTCGCCTTGATATTCCAGCGTGGCGAGTTCTTCGGCGGGGAGAGCGTTTTCATCGACGAATGGTTCCAGTTGCAGCCGTTGATCTTGGAACAACGTCTGTCGTCCAAAGGCATCGAGCAGTTCAAACGTAATTCGCACATCGTCAGTGGTCGCACCGGTGAGTGTGCCTTCGATGGCGACCGCGCGGGGGTCGGTATACAAGTTGTGGCTGGCTGTGGTATCCACCCGCAGCCGAGGAACCCGACCCAGCCACAGATCATCAAAAGCCACGAGGCCCCGCAGGTCGGCTTCGCTTCCGACCGGTTCCACGTGCACCCCGATGGTGACCCAACGGACCTTGTCGTTATTGGGCCCTATGGGACCGATACGAACGTCTTGCCAACCGTCAGTCCAACGGAATGTTTCTGAGAAGTGGCGGCGAACCACCGCCTGATTTTCGTCGAGAAATGTCAACGAGAGATAGGCCTCATCGTTCACCAGCCCCTCGGTGCGAAGGCGACCTTCGAGCCAATAGGCGTAGTTTTCGCTGGCAGCGATGGGCGGGCTCATCGCCGCGGCGGCTCCACCGTCGAGTTCGACGTGCAAAGCCTCACCGCCGGAAGCTGTTTTGTCCGGACGGATCTCGATCTCGAGATAATGCGGGTAACCCGGCCCGCGGTGGCGCGTCCAACGGTCGGGCCACTGGTCGTAGTTGATGTCGTTGGCCGTTTCGAAATTGCAGGTATAGATCGGCACGGCGCCCGCGGGACGTGTATCAATGGGCGCGTGAAGATCGGCCGCTACAATCAGAATGGCCAGTGCGGCGAGATTCATCGCAAATCCAAAACTGGCGGCAGTTGCGGCAATACTGCCATGTTATCGGTCGGAATTCAGGGTCGGCTCGACTTCACGTGGAGCCGCCGTCATAAGTTAAAGAATATGCCATGGCAGCCAGCAGCTATCGCCTGCTGCATGTGCGAACGGGGAAGTTTTGATTAAGTTCCCGCCTTTCAAGTGCAATGAAACGACTTAGGTGAACCATGCGGGCACAAATAGGCATTCACATCCGCTGCTTGCGTCAGCCGCTAGCAAAGGGGCTGGCAACCGCAGCTCAACTCGGCGCAGACGCCGTAGGGATCGACGCTCGGGCCGATCTAAACCCAAAAGAGCTATCACAGACCGGACTGCGACAGCTCCGTCGTACTTTGGAAGAACACCGGCTGCGGGTATCCGTCGTCGAATTCCGTACCCGACGGGGATACGACGTACTGGAAGATCTGGATGCCCGGGTGGAAGCGACGAAGAACGCCATGAGGTTCGCTTACTCAATTGGTGCGAAAGTGCTTGTCAATCAAGTGGGGCGGTTCTCAGCCCAATCAGAAGGTCGGGCATGGGAATTACTTCTGGACGTCCTTCGCGACTTGGGCAGTTTTGGACACCACACCGGAGTGATGCTGGCCACCACCACCGGCGGCGAGGACGGTCCCGACCTCCGGCATCTTCTCGATGCTTTGCCGGCCGGAACGCTCGGCATCGATCTTAACCCCGGAGGGTTGATCGCCAACGCACTATCGCCCCTGGAAGTGGTCTCTGCCGTGGGAGGCGACATAATCCATGTCTGGGCGAACGACGCCGTGAGGGACTTGGCTCGCGGGCGTGGACTGCCGGTCGAGTTGGGCCGTGGCAGCGTCGATTACCCGGCTCTGCTCGGGGCCCTGGAAGAGCACCCCTACCGGGGCAGCTTCACCATCGCCCGCGAAGGTTCGCCCAATCCGGTGCAGGAGTTCGGCGATGCGGTGCAGTTTTTGCGAACCGCGAATGAATAGCGAGATTCCGGCCGTTGCAAACGGGCCGGTTTGAAAACCTATAATAAGTAAGACCACCCTTGCGAGGAGAGACCGTCTCGCGTTCCTTGAACTGACATAACAAACAATCCACTCGAAATTAGGTTGAGAGGATCATCACACATGAAAGCCACTTCGAGCCTGTTCATTCTGCTGTTGGCGCTGACATTTGCCGCAGCCTCTTTAGCCGATGACTCCACCACCGGAGACAAAGAAACTGCGACGTCGCCATCTTCGGACGACGCTCAACTCTCCGAACGCGAGAAGAAGTTTCAGGAGTCGCTTACAGACGTCACGCTCGTAGGGTTCTTCACCGATTCAACGGCCGAGACTCAAGACCTGAGCGAAGACCGTTACATCATCGAAAGCGTGACCAAAGGAAAGAACGACTTCTGGGTCTTCCGCGCAAAGATTCAATACGGCGGTCGCGACGTGAAGATGGGCATGCCGCTGGAAGTGAAATGGGCCGGTGATACGCCCATGATCACCCTGACCAACATCCCCATCCCGGAACTCGGCACGTTCAGCGCCCGAGTGCTCTTCTACGATGGCCGGTATGCCGGCACCTGGAGCGGCACCGACCACGGCGGTCACATGTTTGGCCGGATTGAGAAGAACGATGCAACATCGGAGCCTTCAGAAGAGACGGAAACCGAAACTCCGTAATTCTTCGTCGCACTTACCCCAAAGCTGATGAACTGAACGAATTTGCGGTTGTCCATCAGTAGCGTTGCTCGGCGTTTTGAAAGCGTCACTGGCGTGAGGGCTCGAGGCTCAGAGAATTCGTAGAAGACCGCGAACGGACCGGCTGAATGTGGGATGGCTATGCGATTTGGGCGGCGTTGCTTGCGGCCCTCGATCTCCTCTTAGCCGGCGGCGTTACCATCCATGCCGTTCTCTGGAAACGCGATAGCCGCTCGGTCATCGCTTGGGTTGGTCTGGCCTGGCTGGCACCGTTTCTTGGAACGCTGGCCTACATTTTCCTGGGAATCAATCGCATCGAACGCAAGGCCGTGGCCCTGTGCCTACATGAGCCTAGACGTTCCGAGCCGCATTGCGAACTGGATGGAGAGGAATGGCAACTACCGGCCAGATTTGAGCCGCAGCATCCCAACCTGCAGGGGTTAGCTAATGTCGGAAATAGACTCACTGCGCAGCCTATCGTTTCTGGCAATAAGGTCGAACCTCTTATCGACGGAGATCAGGCTTATCCGGCCATGCTCGAAGCCATCGCCGGTGCGAAACGATCGGTCGCACTGCTAAGTTACATCTTCGATAGCGATCGGGCGGGCGAGGCTTTTTTCGAGGCGCTAATCGAGGCCCAACGCCGAGGCGTTCAGGTTCGAGTGCTCATCGATGACATTGGCTCGAAGTACAGTCGCCCGAACATGGTCGGTCGATTGAAAGCAGCCGGCATCAACACGGCAAGTTTTCTACCCACGCGGATCCCTTTCCCGATCTACGCCAACCTGAGAAATCATCGCAAGATACTCATTGTTGATGGAGAAATCGGTTTCACCGGTGGCACGAACATTCGCGAGGGGCATTGGCTGTCGCTCAAACCCAAAGACCCGGTGGCGTGCCTTCACTTTCGTTTTACGGGCCCCGTGGTTGCTCAGATGCAGAAGGTCTTCGCCACCGACTGGGCCTTCGCATCGAATGAGACCATTGCCGGCGCCGACTGGACTCCTCAATGCAGCCATGCAGGCGAAGTCTGGGCCCGCGGGATCGAGCACGGACCGGACGAGCATTTCGAAACCATGGCCGACATCATCGCTGCCGGTCTGGCCAGCGCAAGAAACCATGTTCGGATACTTAGCCCCTACTTCCTTCCCCATGCCTCGCTGATTCAGGCACTGACCGTGACTGCAATGCGAGGTGTGAGGGTCGAAATCTATGTTCCATCTGCCAACAACATTGCGTTGGTCCAATGGGCGGCCACCGCGCAACTGTGGCAACTGCTCGAAAAAGGCTGCCGCGTTTTCTACACCCCGCCCCCGTTCGATCACACGAAGTTGATGATCGTAGACGGCATGTGGACCTTGCTGGGTTCCACCAATTGGGATCCCCGCAGTCTACGGCTCAATTTCGAATTCAATGTGGAATGCTATGACGAAGACCTGGCTCAAACGCTCAACGCAATTGTCGATGAGAAGGCGAAGAACGCGAAAGAGGTCACACTAGATACCGTAAACGCCCGCAGCTTCCCCATCCGCCTCCGCGACGGCTTGGCTCGCCTGCTAACCCCCTACCTATAGATTCCACTTCCAAACGTTTAGCTGAACGAAACCGGCTATGGTGAAGCGCTCTCTGGCCAACAGCAAAAAAACCAGTTCCTGCAACCTGGGGTTCAGCGACCTTATTTCAGGTCACCTGTAAAGAAATTCATCGCAGTTCAGCTTGCGACGATTCGAGGGCCCGCGAGGCTCATCTGCAGGGTGTAAGCGAGAGTTCCGCACCGGCAAGAGATCCCATGCATCGCCCCCCATTCCACAAGCAAGTTTTCGCCCGGCAGAAATGGAAAAGTGCCGTCTTCCCATAGGAACACGGCACTTTCCAGTAAGCACATTAAATAATGGAGTGGGCGATACTGGACTCGAACCAGTGACCCCTAGCTTGTCGAGCTAGTGCTCTAACCAACTGAGCTAATCGCCCGGGAAGTCGGGTTTGTGGCGGTGGGTGGGGCCCTGAAATGGGCAGCCCGAGGGTGTGGACACCACTCGCGTAAAACGCAACATGGCAAATCTGACGCGCCGATCGTGCTGCGTCAAGTGGCTAGCCTCGCTTCAGGCGTGAACCTGATCTCCCCGAACCCTATCCTCCCTCTATACTTGGGATCCGAAAATTCGATAGACTTGTCGTCCCGGGGAATGGGGTGAGATCTCCCGATCATCGTAGTTTGGGGAACCAAGCCCCCGTGCGGCATTGTTGTTCTCCAGGTGCGGAGAGTCCCGGAAATGAGGCTTGCTCCGCCGCGTTTTGGCTGGCGATGCAATGCGAACCGCGCGATTTCGACTGTTTCCCGGGGTCAAACTTAGTTACTAGCACAACACACAGGCCGATTCAGCCCAGCGTCGTGGAGCCACCATGCTGAAAGTGAAACTACCGGACGGGAGCCAACGAGAATACTCGCAAGCGGTTACCCCGTTGGATATCGCCAAGGAGATCGGGTCGAAGCTGGCCAAGGCCACCCTGGCCGCCGAAGTCGATGGACAAGTGGTCAGTGCCACCGTCCCTTTGCCTAGCGAGGGCGAAGTCAATCTCCGGTTACTCACCAAGAACGATCCCGAAGCACTCGGCGTGATGCGGCATTCGTGCGCCCACGTAATGGCCCGGGCCGTGATGCGGCTGTTCGACGACGTGCAGCTAGCGTTTGGGCCGACCATCGAGAATGGTTTCTACTACGATTTCGAGCTTCCCCATTCTCTGAGCGACGATGATTTCGCGGCCATTGAGAAAGAAATGGCGAAGATCGTCAAGCAAAACGAGCCATTCGAACGGTTTGAGGAGTCGCGCGAGGGTGCTCTGCAGTTGGTGGGCGACATGAAGCAGCCGCTGAAGGTCGAACATATCGAAACCGGCCTGAAAGATCATGAGTCGCTGTCGTTCTACCGGCAGGGGGAGTTCGTTGACTTGTGTCGGGGCCCCCATGTACCGAGCGCTGGCAAGATCGGCAGCTTCAAGATTCTCTCCGTGGCCGGAGCCTATTGGAAAGGCGATTCGTCGCGTCAGCAGTTGCAGCGGCTCTATGCCACCGCGTTTTTCGACAAGAACGACATGGAAGCTCATCTTGAACGCGTCGAAGAAGCCAAGCGACGCGATCACCGCGTGTTGGGCAAACAACTCGAACTGTTCTCGATCAATCCGCTGGTGGGCTCGGGCCTCATTCTTTGGCTACCCAAGGGAGCGGTCGTCCGCGGGGTGCTCGAAAACTTCATTCGCGACGAACTGATTCGCCGCGACTACGAACCGGTCTACACCCCGAATATCGGCAAGGTCGAGCTCTACGAGACCTCGGGCCACTTCCCCTACTACGCCGACAGCCAGTTCCCGCCGATTCAGATGAAGGACGGCGAACGGTATCTGCTGAAGCCGATGAACTGTCCGCACCACATCATGATCTATAAGTCGAAGCCTCGAAGCTACCGCGACCTGCCGGTGCGGCTGGCCGAATTCGGCACCGTGTATCGGTTTGAGCAATCCGGCGAACTCAACGGCATGACTCGCGTGCGAGGGTTCACCCAGGACGATGCCCATTTGTTCTGTAGCGAAGATCAGGTGGCCGACGAGTTCCGCGGTTGCCTCGAGATGACCCAGTTCGTGCTGAATAGTCTTGGCTTGACTGACTACCGAGTACGCCTGGGATTCCGTGATCCCGACAGTACCAAGTACGTGGGCGACTCGGCAGTTTGGGACCGTGCCGAACAGGCACTCGAGGCCGTGTGCCGAGAGATGGACTTACCGCAGCTTTCGATCGAACCGGGCGAAGCTGCATTCTACGGCCCGAAAGCCGACTTTGTGGTGACCGACTGCCTGGGCAGAGAGTGGCAGCTTGGCACCGTGCAGTTGGACTACAACTTGCCCAGCAGCGAACGGTTTGACCTGGAGTACACTGGCACCGACAACAAGCCGCATAAACCGGTGATGATTCACCGCGCGCCATTGGGCTCGATGGAACGCTTCATTGGAGTGTTGATCGAACATTACGCCGGGGCCTTCCCCCTGTGGCTGGCTCCCGAGCAGGTACGCGTGCTATCCATCAGCGAGAAGGCCGAGGAATACGGCCGTTCGGTCGAAGAGCGACTGAAAAAGGCCGGTATTCGGGCCACCGGTGACTATCGGGCTGAGAAAATTGGGGCCAAGGTGCGAGATGCCCGGCTGCAATTGATCCCTTACCTGCTCGTTGTTGGCGAAGTCGAGGCCCAAGACGACAGCGTCGATGTGCGAGACCGAATCGACGGGCGTATCGGGGTCATGAAGTTCGACGAGGCCCTGGAAAAGCTGCAGACCGAAATCGCAGAGCGCCGCGTTCGCCAGGTGGTTACCACCTCCGCAGGGCTCGTAGCTCACGGCAGCGAAAACGAGTACTAGGTCTTCGTCTCAACCCCAGAGGCCAGCTTGCATCGGTGCTGATCTATAGGAATCAGGCAAGGTCGGTCACGGCTTTTGTATTGCAGTAGGTAAAGGCGTTATGCTAGTGGCACTCGCCTTGTAAGCGGAACCAGCTCTAGCTGCTCAGCCGATCCACCCAACCCAAAGAAGCCTGCTGCCCTCCGATGACCAAGACCCTATACATTCCAGAAGAAGAAGCCCAGGAACTTCGCGAGAAGCACTACAACGCTGAGATTTCTAGCGTCAAGCGAATTCACGATGACCTGTGGTTGTTTCGCGTTCGACCCGACGAACCGATGGAAGAGTTCGATCCGGGTCAGTACACCTCCCTGGGTTTGGGCCATTGGGAACCACGTTTGGAAGGGACGCAAGCCGAAGACATCAAAGACAAGCTGCACCGTAAGGTGGTCAAACGGGCCTACTCGATCAGTTGCCCCATGCTGGACGAAAACATGCAGCTCGTTCAGGCCTATGGTCAGGACAGTCTGGAATTCTATATCGTCTTGGTGCGCGAGAATGAAGGCGACGCTCCGGCGCTGACCCCACGGCTGTTTACCCTTGGCGAAGGTGACCGACTCTGGATCGGCCGCAAGGTGACAGGCCACTACAACCTGGCCCCGGTATCACCCGACGACAACGTAATCTTCGTCGCCACTGGCACCGGCGAGGCCCCTCATAATGCGATGGTGGCCGAACTGCTGGCCAACGGGCACAAAGGCCGGCTGATCTCACTCGTCTGCGTGCGGAAGAAACAAGATCTCGGCTACTACGAGACACATCAAACCCTAGAGAAGCAGTTTTCCCAGTATCGTTTCGTCCCGCTCACCACGCGTGAGCCCGAGAACTTGGACCCGTCGCTGCCCAATTACGTGGGCAAGGTTTACGTTCAGCAGTTCTTCGAGACCGGTCAATTTGAAGAGCAATTGGATTGCCCGTTGGACCCAGCGAAAACGCATGTCTATCTGTGCGGCAATCCGTCCATGATCAGCGCGCCCCTGAAAGGCAAGCACGCGACTGGCGACGGACCGACCTTCCCCGAAGAGCGAGGAATGTGCCAACTCTTGTACGAACGAGGGTTCACGTTCGACTCGAAAGAAGGTCACGGTTCGATTCACATCGAAGAATACTGGTAAATGGCCCAGTAGGGCGCGAGTTCGCCCAATTCTCAGAACAGCGGCGATTACTTGACCCGCGTCGTCTGAACCGCGACAGTAGTATCATCATGCGGACATGCTTCGCAGGTTGCTTCCCGCCCCGGTTTCCACGGTAATTCTTCCTCCGCTGGCCCCACTCTCTGGAATGATTGCAATGCAGAGCTGCCCTCTTCGTCTGTCATTACAGCACGCCTTGTTGGCGTCTTTTGTAGTTTTCAATCTGACATCGCACGCTTTCAGCGAGAACTGGCCATCGTGGCGCGGTCCGAAAGAGGATGGGACAAGTCTCGAGACCGATCTGCCAACCTCCTGGAGCACAACGGAGAATGTCGCCTGGAAGGCGCCTCTGCCCGGGCCAGCAGGTGCTACGCCGGTGGTGTGGGACGATCGCATCTTCCTCACTTCAGTGGGCGACGAAGGCGAGTTGCTCATCATGTGCTTCGACACCGATGGAAAGCCGCTTTGGCAAGACACCATGGCCGATGGCAATAAGGATGTCCGCGGTGATGAAGGCAACTCCGCATCGCCATCCCCTTGCACTGATGGAGAGCATGTTTGGGCCATGATGGGAACTGGCCACTTGGCCTGCTACGACTTCGATGGAAATGTGGTCTGGAAGCAGTTTCTTCCCGACCGCTTTGGTGATTTCGATATTCAGTTTGGCATGACTTCCACGCCACTGCTGCACGGCGACAAGCTGTACCTGCAACTCATCCATAGCGGTGGGGCTCGCATTGTCGCGTTGGACAAACTCACCGGAGAAACAGCTTGGGAACACACCCGAGAGAGCGACGCTTACGCCGAGTGCGAACACTCGTACGCTTCTCCGGTTTTGTATCACGACGATGAGCGCACCTACCTGCTGTCGCATGGTGCCGATTACGTTGTGGCTCACAGTTTGGAAGACGGTAGCGAGATTTGGCGGTGCGGAGGCCTGAACCCGCGTGGCAATTACAACCCAACGCTCCGCTTTGTGGCCTCCCCGGTAGCGGTCGAAGGCCTGATCGTGGTGCCTTCGGCCAAGAATGGCCCCGTGTTGGGGCTCGATCCTGCTTCCAAGGGCGATGTAAGCGAAGATGCCGCGGCCCATCGCTGGACTCGGGACGACAACACGCCCGATGTACCTTCACCGCTTGTCCACGACGGCCTGGTCTACCTTTGTCGTGAAAACGGCGACTTGATTTGCCTTAATGCCCAAACTGGTGAGGAACTGTATTACGAGCGAACCCACCGTCAGCGACATCGTGCATCACCCGTTTATGCCGACGGAAAGGTGTACCTGATCTCACGCGACGGCGTTGTTTCAGTGATTAAGGCTGGCAAAGAGTTCGAGATTCTGGCTCAGAACAAGATGGGCGAGTCGATTTCCGCCTCGCCGGTCATTTCCAACGGTCGCATTTACCTCCGCGGCTTCGAAAACCTGTACTGCATTGAAGAGAACTAGTCGCATGAATCCGAAAGCCGTAGCAGGGCGAAGCCGAGTGAGCGGGATGCTCCTTCGCTGGGTTGTAGCCATTATGTTGGCAACCACTATCCTGCCGGGGACCGGCGAGGCTCGCGGGGCAGAAGGAGCGACAGCCTCCGGTGATGCGGGCCCATTCGCCGCTCACAATGCCTACCCCTATCGGCTCTACGCACCCAAGCGTTTTGAGCGGGCGTTGGATTCTGGGCTGAAATACGTTGAACTCGATATCACCTATGATCCCAAGCGAAAAGTTGCGGTAGTCACGCATGACAGCGACCCCAACGGGAACGAGCCTGAACTCTCAACGATGCTCGACCAACTGTGGGATCGCTGGATCGACGCTCCCCCGGCTGATTACACGGTGATTCTCGACTTCAAGACATCGTCACCCGAGTTGGTGCAAGCTGTTCAAGACTTGCTCACGCCGCAGGCAGAGCATTTATCGAAACTTCGGAAAGAATCAGGCGCCGAGTTCGAGCCAGGGAAGATTACAGTCTGCCTCACAGGCGATAAGAGCGCTCACCGGATTTTCGAAGAAGCCGTAGCCGAAGGAGATGATTTCCTGGCCTTTGGCGATGGCGGAGCTGGCGGCTGGCTAGAGAATCCTGAAGATCACGTCCCCGATAAGCCCGCCGGCTTCGTGCGTTTTCTTACCTACCATCAATCCGCCTTCACAGATGTTGCCGGCGCCCGAGGTGAAGAGCACTTTTCTGAAGAACGTGCCAGGGCAGTGATGGACAAAGCCAACGAGGGGAATTACCGAGTTCGCATCTACACGCTGAATCCTCCTCGCGGTGAGGATCGCGAACGCGACTATCGGGCTTGGCAGCGGTGCGTCAATGCCGGCGTTCACATGATTGCAACCGACAATTACCCTGGGGCCCGACTGTGGTGGGATGAGCAGCGTTCCGAGTAGCGACGCGAAGACTTAAGCAGGGCCATTTAAGTCTTGTTGGCTCCGGTCGATTTTCCCTCTCATCCCTGTAATTGGGGTATGTGCCTTCCCCATCAGGATGCCCACCATATGGTTTTCTCGTATGCGCCATGTGACGGGTACACGATCTTACGGGAAAAGCTTTAAGATCACGCGCGTGGAATCGGCGCCGCCAATGTTCGCTCTTAGCTGACATTGCTACATTTGAGTCGCTGATCTAATGGTCGACAGACACTTTTCCCGTGCCGTGAATGGCGCGGGTTTCGTCTGCAGTAGATCGCCCCCGTGAATGCTCGGTTTTTCGAGCACGTTTATGGCTAAGGTTTTAGTTGTCGACCAGGAACTCTCGTACTGTCAGTCCATCGCTCAACAGCTCGCGGATGAAGGTCACCAGATCGAGTTTGCAACCACTGCGCTCGACGCGGCGCAACTTGCAGAGCAGTTCGCACCCGATCTGTTGATTGCCGATTCGCTTGTTTGCGGGGATCCCCAAGCTCAGGAACTTCTGGCGGAAATCTTTCGCACAGTTCCCCGACCGAGGACGATCTTGATGACTGGGTTTCCCGAAGAGACCCTTGAACAAACCTTGGGGGAGGTGAGGTTTGACGCGTTATTAGCCAAGCCATTCACCTTAGCAGAGCTATCCCAAGCCGTGGCCTTTGCCCTGGGACATGATTCCCCCGATCGTCCATAGGAGACGCAGACCCCGCCTGTGGCTATGGCAAAGAAGTCGCCACTTCGAAGCGGACGATCGCCCCCAGCAGCCTCACGAGCCCGGGGCCGGAAAACTCTCATGAGCGGCTCCTGTCGAAAACGGACATTTCCAAACTTTTTTCTTGACAGTCTTCGCGATCTCATCCAAGATCGTAGATGTACAGATTTACGGGGGTGCAAGAAACGGCGTGTGACGCCGCAATTTCCCCGGGCCATACTTTCTTAATCGATGCCAATGAACTCCGAGTGAGAGCTTCCGTTTGCAGATTTCTGCACGGGTACGTCATTCGGTTGTTAGTCTTTAGGCATCTCGGCAGGCCACTTTGGCACTGCTGATTTCTTTCGCCCCGACGCAATCTGTTTCTCGTATTCGCTCGCTGCTGCACGGCCATCGCTGCCCCAGGGTAACCCCTGGCTCTCCGCAGCTCCCGCCAGACGGAATTCTCCTCGACGTCTCGCATTCGATTTCTCGGGCCGTACTCCCCCGTCCCCCTGCTCAGGCATCGCTGCATGCGCGCAGGGAAACGAAGGACTGTGGCTTGATCTCATACGATCGGAGATGTGCGTACTATGCGCCGCAATAAACGAAGCTGTTTGTCCAACAGGGCCACTGGCCTGGCTCTCATAACGATGTTGATCGCGTGCGTTGCATCGACCGCAACCGCCGCACCCATCGTTGGGTATCAACTGCGGATGTCGAGCGACCTGCGATTATTGCAGGATCCGACGAATCCCAACGTCCGCATGCTGGTTTCGAAGAAAAACAAGTACGACATGATGGTCGACCGGATGATGCCGTACTTCGAGCTGAAGAACACCGCGGATGAAGCGGCGCTCGAAAGCTGGCAGTTCACCGTAGGCAAAGTCGACTACAACTTTGAGAATCTGCAGATTCTCGATACACCCGCGGCCAGTGTTGGCCCGGCCTCGGCTCAATCAATGTTGCCACTCGGAACACCTTCTGCCGACCTATTGGCAATGAACTTCACAGGGCTCACACCCGGCCAGTCGGTAATGGGCCGTATCAGCCTGGGTGCTGATAATTCGTCCATCATGGAGGTGCCCGACTTCCGCAACGTCCTGTTCCAAATGGACAGCCCCGAACCACCAGAGGTGACCAGCAACGCCACGATTCGAACGGTATTCTCAGATGGCTCGACGCTCCAGGGCACCCTGCCGAACTTCACCCACAAGGAAGCAGCCCTGGGCATGGCCTTAATCCCCTGCAGCAACGAATCCTTCCTTGAACAGGAAGTCTTTGAATTTAGCCAACAGGGTGAAGCAGTCGTGGTGCCCGAGCCCGGCACGTTCCTGCTGGCCGCATTGGGCCTCGTATGCCTGATCGGAAATACGGTCATCCGCCGTAAACGGTAAGTTCATTCCCATTGCGGGCCGAACTTCAGCACATCAAGTCAACAAAAAAACTCCCCCGCCGGATCATTGCCTGCGGGGGAGTTTCTTTTTGAGTCATTACTCTGGGAACGGCTCGCTGACTACAGCGTGGTGATCACGCCAAGCAACAGCGGGATACTGGCCAAGCTAATGGCTCCACCGACCCAGCGAAGTGCGGAACTCTGCGAAAGGTGCATGATCCCCAAGCCCAGGGCTACTCCGGCGGCGTGCAACATAGCGGTGGCTGAAACAAATCCCACCGCGTAAGAGCCCCAGCCACCTTCAAGCACGTGAGCATATCCGTGGAACAATGCGAAGGCCCCCACGACTGAGGCCGCAACAACGGCAGACATGCGAAACGCCGTGGCAATCATCACGCCCAACACCAAGACCGAAGCAGCGATGACGGGCTCAACCAGCGGCAAGTGAATGCCAACTTGGCTCAGCAAACCTCCTAGGACCATGGCTCCGACGAAAACAGCCGGAATGGCAATCGCAGCACGTCGACCGAACTGAACCGCCAGTAAACCCACGGCAACCATCGCCAGCAGGTGGTCCCAACCCAGGGGATGGGTCAACCCATCGACCAAACCATTGTGGCCAACATGACCTGGATGAGCCCACGCGGGCTGAGCCAGTGAAGCAACGAAAAGCCAGGCACCAGCCGTGCTTGCACACTTACGTAACATGAAAGCGATCTCCATAGATTGCGAGCGATCGGTGTAATCAAGATCCGGCGGAATCACCCTACGATGTAGCCGCGAATCACCTACAAGAATGAATTCGCCCCCACGCCGATTATCGTACCTGCCCCCCGCTTGTGAGTCCACTCTCCACGAACAATACGGGCTTGCCGACCGGAAAGGGCACTCCGCGCCCACACCCCGCCAATGGGGAATCCATTGCCTTACGACCGTCGCGACGCGTTTAAGTCTCCGAAAAGTCGAGCTTCGTTGGCGGCTCGGCGCATACATAGGTGCTGCGTCTACAGCTTGTACCCGAACTAAGCGATTGCACGGAATTGCAGAACAGAGGTCTTGGGCAACCCACCGGTGAGATTATCACCTAGGCAGAATCAATTCCCGATAGAGGACATATGGAAAAGGACACCAGCAGCGTGTCCAGAAACACGACCCGACCTCACAAAACGTGGAGCGGCGAAAATGCCTAACGTCGGCAACATTCTGCTAGATAAAGAAATCTTGCTCGAGAGCGGCACAAACGAACTCGAAGTGCTGGTCTTCTCCGTCGCCGACTACACGTTTGGTATCAACGTCGCCAAGGTGCGTGAGGTGTTGAAGTTGCAGCCGATCACGAGCTTGCCACGGGCGCATAGTTCAGTGCGGGGCGTCTTCAAACTCCGTAACTCGGTCATCCCGTGTGTATCTCTGTACGAACATCTACAGCTCGGCGAGGCCTCACCCCAGGCCGAATCGACGATGATTCTCACCGATTTCAATCGGCAGCAAACGGCCTTTTTGGTCGATGGGGTCGAACGAATTCATCGCTTGAGCTGGGAACAAATCCTGGGCGTTCCCTCGCTCATGTCGATGAACAACACCCCTGTCACGGCGGTTGCCCGCTGCGACGAACGGCTCATCGTTCTTCTGGATTTTGAGATGATCATCGACCAGGTGACCGGAGCCTTGATGGACGCCGACGCCATCGAGAACCCGCTTGGTATTCCACGCCACCAACTCAAAATTGTGTTAGCAGACGACTCGCCAACCGTGCGGAAAGGGGTCAAGAAGACCCTGGCCGCCAGTGGGTATACGCAATTGCAGTACTTTGAGAATGGTGCCGCGGCGTGGAATTGGCTCGAGGCTCAGGTGAAAGAAACAGGGCGAGCCCACGATGTGGCCGACCTCGTCATCAGCGATATCGAGATGCCGCAGGTTGACGGCTTCCACCTTACCAAGAAGATCAAGGACCATCCCGTGCTCGGGTGCCTGCCGGTGTTGTTGTACTCCTCGATTGTCACTCCAGACAACGACAAAAAGGGGAAAGCAGTCGGTGCCGATGCCCAAATCGCCAAACCCGAGTTGCACCGCATCGTTGAGATGGCCGATAGCCTTATCTCGGCTTCCCGACCTGAGTTTCAACAAGGGAAGGCTGCTGCCGAACCGGCGGCTTCTACTGCCGGGAATGCCACGAAAGGTATCGCTGCTGAGAATCCAACTTCCGGAACTGCACCGCAAGTGGCAACGCCGGCTGCCGCAGCAAAACCCACACCATTGACCTCCGGCGGAACTGGAGACCCGGAACTGTGGGCCTCGTTCCGCACCGAACTACGTGAACACCTCCCTCTGCTACGGCAGAGCATCAGCTCCTCCGAAGGCGGCAGCCTGAATGAGACGTCAATCACAGAACTCGCCCGACGCCTGCATACCATCAAAGCCGCGGCGATGGTGGTGCCGGTGGATGCAATCGTTCAAGTAACGCACCTAGTCGAAAGTCTTCTCGCCGACACGGAAGCAAAGAACGACGGCCCGCTTAAAGAGTCACTCACAAAATATGCCGGATGGCTCGAGGCCGTAGGCGAAGCCACCCAACAAGGCGTTAGCCAAGTTCTCGACGAAGCTCCGGCCCTTGAAATCGAGCTGGTCGATTCTGCACTGGCGGCGACCAAGTAGGCCTACCGAAAGCCATCGGCTACTTACTGTCTCAGAATGGCAGTTCGAAATCTGCCGGCCGCCTGCATAACAGACCGCTCAGTGCAGCCACGGTGAATCGACATCGTTCCCGAGCGCACGGGCACACCATCGGCTTCGTAGCCTTAGAACAACCTGGCGTCCCTTAAACCGCAGCCGGGCGATGAATCGTTTGCCCCAAGGCGGTCCGCCAGCGAAGGAATCGTGCGTGCGATTGTCGCAGCACGTCGACCATTTCGAACTGGTCGAGCGGCTTCACCAGGTAGTCGCTGGCACCCAATTCAATCGCCTCGGAAATTGCTTGAAGCGACGAATGACCCGTGAGAAAGATGACTTGAGTCCAGGGGTTGCGAGCCTTCGAAAATCGCAACATCTCGAGACCGTCGATGTCGGGCATTTGCAGATCGGTAATCAGCACATCGCAGCAGTGCTGGTCGATCCAACGCTGTGCATCGTGCGGAGTGGTAAAATCGATCGTGTCGATCAATTCGCCCAAGGCCTGATTGACCACGCGAGTGACAATCCGAACAATCGCCGGGTCGTCGTCGATAACCACGAGCTGAAGTTTCTTCTGAATTGCGTAACTCATCGTCCGGTCGCTCTCTTCTAGGTCTCGAGATGGAAGACAAAGAGGTGCTGACAAGGCACATCGATTCAAAACGAGGCGATGGTGCGCTTCCACACAGCCTGAATGCCCTAGAAAAAGATAGCTCACCGACTGCGTGCGGTATCCAATTCTGGCCCGGGGAAAAGCGGAATTTCTCGAATGGCTAATATCCCACAACCTATTGTTGAATATAAAGTTACAAACAGGGGGCCAGTGGCGGTTTACCGTAGTGCCAGGCCGCGATGTGACCATTCGCTCGTGCGTGGCTACTAATCATTTGAGGATCAGCGGAGACGGCGCCAACTGGAGAATTGAGGCAATGGCCGTCGTGGAAGCAACGAGAACCTCCGACGAACAACTACTCGCACTAGCCGCTCGGGAAGGTTCCGACGGTCCTGCGTTCGTAGAGTTGGTCGCCCGACATCAATCTCGGGTATGGGGTATCTGCTACCGACTGCTGAACAACGAGCACGATGCTGCGGACGCCGCACAAGAGGTATTCGTGCGGTTGTTCGTCAACCGAGCCAAGTTCTCCGGAGACTCGAGATTCACAACCTGGCTGCAGGCCATCGCTGTCCGCACATGCTTGTCACTACGGCGCAGTCGCGAACGCCGGCAACGATACGAACGGGCCGCCGCGGAAGAAGCCTCGCACCAGAGGCGGGCGAGTTCTTCAGCCGGTTGTTCCACGAGCGACCTGATGCAGATGCTCGAGGTTCTCGACGACGAAGATCGAGCGATCGTGATTTTGAAATACGCGGAAGGCCATACCTTTGAAGAGTTGGCCGAAATATTCGGGCTTTCGCTGAGTGCCTGCAAGATGAGAGTCACCCGCGCCCGGGAGAAACTTCGGCAGCGGTTCGGCGACCAGTACTAGGGCCTTCTACGAAGGAACACAAAACCATGTCCGACAACTTCCTAGAGCGACTGGCCGAACAACAAGTTCCACCTGTGCCGGAAGATTTCGATGAGCAAATACACACAAAAGTTAACCGCACCTTGCTCTCACGCGACCTCTTCGATCTAGGACTGCGAGCGGCTCCATGGGCAATGCTTACGTTCGCACAATCGTTAATTGACTTGTTCAGCTTCACCGTAAGCGGACGTTTGCAGAACGAACGACCAAGACAACGTCGACGCGCCTCACACTAGGTCCGTGCGTCGACTCGATAAGAAACAATTGCTCTGAGCCCTCGTCGGCTCAATCCAAATAGGGAGACGAACCATGTTTGCACTTCTGGCACAAACCGAACCCGCCTCACCCAGCAATGCCGTGGTCGACATGACCACGCTGGAAAATTGGAAGCAGGCTTTCGTCGATAGCTTCTCCCAAGCCATCGGCGAATTGGGGGCCATCGTCCCCAAGACGCTTGCCATGCTAGTGGTGCTGATCATCGGGTTCGTCGTGGCTAAGTTACTGGCTCGCGCCGCTGCCGCACTGTGCAGCGCCGTGGGGCTGCCCGCGGCTGCCAAGAGCAGTGGCCTGACCACTTCCATGCAGCAAGTTGGCATCACGCGAGGTGTAGCCGACATCGTGGGACAAATCGTGTTCTGGCTTACAATGTGCGTCTTCCTATCCGCAGGCTTCAACATCCTGGGACTGGAAGCTTTGTCCGACGCCATGTCACAGATCGTGGCTTACATCCCACGCCTCTTAGTGGCCACGGTCGTCGTGGTGGTGGGCCTGCTGGTGGCCTCGTTCCTGCGAGGCGTGGTAGCCACGGGAGCCGATCGAGTGGGGCTCTCCTACGCCGAGACTTTGGCGAACGGCTGCTACTATGTCCTGGCACTAATGACCTTCATGGCCGCCTTCGATCAACTGGGAATCCAGTTCGAGCTGTTCCGCGAGATCATTCTCATCGCGTTTGCGGCCCTTGCCGTCGGATTCTGCCTCGCCTTTGGACTGGGTGGTCGCGATGTGATGGCCGGCATACTCGCCGGCTACTACACCCGTCAGCGGCTGCATGCCGGCGATCAAGTTCACGTGGCCAATCTTCACGGCACGGTCCGCGAAGTGGGTCCCGTGGCGACGGTGATCGAAACCGAAGAAGACGGCCTGCTCCACCGTCACAGCATCCCCAACACCAAGATGCTGCACGAAGCAGTGCGGTAATCTCAAGAAGATACTGAGTGGCGAAACCGAACCGCCGGCCAATCACTTAGAACATCTTGATTGCCAGAATCAAAGCAATCGAGAATGCACTGGCCCCAATGATCCGCACGTGGCGTCGCAGGTAACGATCAACGTCGACCGGACGATCCATCAGCTTTTCCAACCCTGAGGTATCAAAGCTGCGGTTCATGAAGTCTTCGAGGCGACGAAACAGAGTCGGACTGATCATCGCCACAAAGGCCACAACCGCAATGAATCCGAGCGAGGCCATATAGACGTATTGCAGAAAGGTCGCAGACTGAGCGAACAGTAAGTTCATATTGAAGACCCTCGAGCGGAAGTTGCAATTGGCTTACTACCCCGAAAGTCTAGCTCACGCTTGTGCAACCGAACTGACCGGACGAGCCGCTCTTAAAATTTTTTGGGCGGGCACGGAAAGCGTTAAACCCCTACATGAGACATGTCGGATTCCGGATCTAGCAAGGGTAACGATTGTTCCGCCAATCGCCTCGCTCTAGGAGTTCAGCCCGAGCGATAGCCACACCCGCCGCAGTGCATCACGTATCGCGCCACGCCGGCTCCCCCACGAGGTTTCACCTGCAAGGGCGATCCGCAGTTGGGGCAGTAATCAGCATCCGTGGTGGCCCCGCCCGATTCATCCAATTGCTGACATGCCACACAGGTATTGGTGCCCGGCATAATTTCGAGGCGTTCCGGCGGAATCAGTTTCCCGCAGACTTCGCAAGCTACCGGCTCTGGCCAGTCGAATTCATCTTCCGCGGGTTGTCGAAGCTGCAATGGCTGATGTTGGCACTCGGGGCAGCTCAACTTCCCAGCGGCAACCGGTAGCAGCTCCTGAATTTCTTCCGGCGTCGGGTCACTTCGTGCACTGCTCAGTTTCGCCTCCCGAAGCCAGATGATCCCTCTCGCAAGATCGACCAACTCACTCCAATCGCAAGCAGAGCAGTACAGTTCCTGCCGATCACTCATTGCTGTCATTGGGGAATGTTCCTACTAAGTTCCAGTCGCTTCAACAAAGGTTGGATCCAGCTTTGACCACCGTTTAGGCCGCGGGTAGATTCTACTTTCTCAACTCGATTCGTGCCCGAACCCACAATTGGCTGCACTCCCATGGTCGAAGATTTATCTCAGCAACACCGTCTGATTGGCGATTTGTTCCACTGGCCGGAAACGCCTGAGGAGTGGGAACCGTATTGGTTGAGCGACGACCAACTCGCATTCTACGAAACCAACGGCTATGTGACCGGCATTCCCATCTTGACGGAAGAGCAATGCGACGCGCTCTGCGAAGAGCTTGAACCGCTGTTCGATCCTAAGCACCCAGGCAACTCGCTGTTCCACGAGTACCACTCAAACGAATCGGACTCGCCCGACACCGTGCTGTTTCATGCATTGGGGGCCTGGCGGGTTACTCCCGGGTTCCACGACATTCTCTGGAATCCGGCGTTTCTGGCGCCGGCCTCACAACTCTTGGGCGGAGCCGTGCGGTTCTGGCACGACCAACTCTTCTGCAAACCGGCCCATCACGGAGGCGTCGTCGCCTGGCACCAAGACTATTCGTATTGGACCCGCACCAAACCTCTGGGGCACCTCACCTGCTGGATCGGCCTCGATCCTTCGACCAAAGACAACGGCGCGGTGCACTACATTCCTGGCAGTCATCGCTGGGACCTGCTTCCCATCACCGGGCTGGCGGGCGACATGCAGGCGATCAACGAGGTACTCTCCCCCGAGCAACGGGCCACTTTCGAAAAGCCGGCCGTAGTCGAACTGAAACGGGGTCACTGCTCGTTCCATCACCCACTGATGATTCACGGATCGTTCGAGAACCGCACCGCGGGGCCGCGACGCGCGACGGTCATCAACGCGATGCGTGACGGAGTTCATAGCGACTCGCCGGAACCTCTCCTGCAAGGCGTCCCGCCGGTTCAGCCGGGAGAGAAAGTCGACGGACAGTTTTTTCCGCTGTTGTTCGACCCCAAAACCGTGGGGAAGTAAGTGCGACGACCGTGGCAATTCGCAACGCTACGAAGCCGCCATGGCATCTGCCGACTTGCGTCGCGTGCGACGGGTGAGCAGCTTGAAATAGTTCCCAGGGCTGAATAGCAGTTCCTGGTAACTCGCCCCGCCGGCAATCACCTCGGTAACGCCTTCGCAAAGTAGCTGGCCCCGCCGCTGAAAGACCCAATTGCGCATTCGCGGAGCCGAATAAAGCCATCTGGCGAGCAGTCGGGCCAACTTTAGGTCGCCGAGGAGTCGTTTCTGCATGGACTGCGAATACTGCCGCGTAGCGACCGAGGCATCTCCCGAGGCACCCAAGATCGCTTCGGCCGCCAACCGACCACTGAGGATCGCTGGCGAGATGCCTTCGCCCGTGATGGGGTCGGCCAAGCCGGCAGCATCGCCGGCCAGCAGCACACGCCCTTTGGCCAACCCCTCAGAGCGAGGTTGTAGCGGGCAGTAATACCCATGCTGCGTTGAATGTTCGATGGGGCCCAGCCCAATACGTTCGAAGTATGCAGTCACGGCCTTCTTCAAGTTCCCCGCCGGCCCCTGCATGGCAACGACGCCCGCGGAGAGGTGATCGCGTTTTGGGAACACCCAGCCGTATCCGGTCACCCCGACGTCGAAGTCGAAACGTGCGCAGTCATCGAAGCGGCGGAATACGTCATCCGGAACCCGAAGTTCGCACTCCACGGCCGGTGCCAGTCCTGGTCGGGTGGTCCAGCCGGCGGTTTTGGCCACGCGGCTGTTCGCACCGTCGGCGGCGATTACGAAATCGGCTTGCAGCGTTCCCCGATCGGTTTCGATTTCCACGGCGTTTGCTTGCTGAACGACTCCTTTGACTTCGCGTGGGGCATACAGCAGAGCGCCTGCTTCGGCGGCTGTTTGGGCGAGATGATTGTCGAATTGATCTCGCATCACCATCCACACCAGCGGATCATCGCGGTGCACAGTGTAAGAGAGCCCCGCATCGAGGAAGTTCATCGATGCGGCATGCAGCGAGCGTTGCACTTCCAGCGGGTGATTCTCGGGAAGCCAGTCGGCAGCCCGCCGGACCAGCCCCCCGCCGCACGTCTTGTAGCGCGGGAGTTCGGCCTTATCCAACAGAGCCACCCGGGCCCCGGCTCTTGCGAGGAAAATGGCCGCGGTCGACCCCGCGGGACCCGCGCCCACGACTGCCACATCCACGCGGTCGGCTGTGCCTGCTTGCGAACTGACGATCATTTTCCACCGCTATCGAACAACCACTCGAGACCCAACAGCGGCTCAATATACACCATCACCCACAGGGTCGGCTTGCCCCCAAAGCGGTAAACCGTTTTGATACAGAACCAGCGGATAAGGTTTTTCGCCCGTGAGTCCCCGACGAGCGATGCTACAGGAAAAGCTGCAGCCATGAATGTGGCAATCGTGCACTACCATTTCAATCGCGGTGGAGTTACCCAGGTGGTGACAAATCACCTGCGAGCGCTCGAGGCCACCCGCGACGAGGATGAGTCGTTAAAAGTCGCCCTGTTTTACGGAGGACGCCACGAGGGAGCCGCGGATGAACTTCTCTCTGGCTTCGAAGCCCTCGCTCCCATCCGCTGTGTGGTTGAAGAGCTGGACTACGATACGATTCAGCCTCGCGACCCGGCCAAGCTACTCCGTCGGCTGCGAGACGAACTGGCCGTCATCGGCTTCAAGCCTGAAGACACGGTGCTCCATGTTCACAACCACGGGCTTGGCAAGAATCAGGCTGTGCCGCATGTGCTAGCGGAGCTGGCCCGCGAGGGGTTCGGGCTGTTGATGCACGTCCACGACTTTGCCGAAGACTTCCGGCCAGACAATTACGCCCGCATTGTGAACGCGGCCGGCAAGGCTGAGGCGGTTCCCGCGTTTCTTTACCCGCAGGCCGCTCGAATTCATTATGCCGTGCTCAACGGTCGCGACCGTGGCGTGCTGGCTTCCGCTGGAATCGACGCCAGCCACCTGCACGACTTGCCCAACCCGGTCTCGGAGTTCACTGGACTGCCCGACCCTGTTGCGACCAAAGCTCGCTTCGCCTTGAAGTTCAATTTCGATCAGAACCGACGCTTGGTGTTGTACCCAGTGCGGGGCATTCGTCGGAAAAACGTGGGGGAAATCCTGCTGTGGTCGGCCCTTGCCAGAGGAGAGTCGATCTTTGCAGTCACGCTTGCCCCCATCAATCCAGAAGAACGCGTGAACCACGACGCCTGGCAAGCCCTGGCGACCGAGCTTGAACTCCCGTGCCTCTTCGACGTTGGGCACAGCGGTGGGTTTTCCTTCGCCGAGAATCTGGCGGCCTGCGATCAAATCATTACGACGAGTGTTGCCGAAGGCTTTGGGATGGTGTTCCTCGAAGCGTGGCTTGCGGCACGCCCTTTGATTGGCCGCGACTTGCCAGAGATCACCGCCGACTTCGTAACTGCCGGGATTCGTTACGATCATCTAAAGCCCCGCGTGCAAGTGCCCGTCGAATGGGTCGGTCGCGACAAGTTGGCTACCGCGCTGAATTCGATGTACCTCAAAGTGCTGGAGGCCTACAACACGTCGCCACCCGAGCGGGCAACGCTCGACAGCGAGATCGACTCGTTGATCACTCACGACGCAATCGATTTCGCGTCGTGCCCTCATGAGCTTCAAGCCGAGATCGTCCGACTGGCGTGCACGCAGTCCAATCGTGTCGACATCTTGCTGGAGATGAATCCTTGGATTCAAGATGCGCTCGCTGCCGACACAGCCTCGGAAGCGGCGACCATCGAACACAACGCAACTGTGGTGCGAGAGTCGTATTCACTCACCGAGTGCGGTCATCGGTTGCGCCGCGTCTATGCTGACGTACTCGACAGTCCGACCGATTCAGATATTCATCCGCCAAAATCAGGCGATCGCTTGCTGGCTAGTTTCCTGGCCCTCGATCGGCTTCGCCCCATTCGATTGGAAGCATGAACGCCTCGATCCAAGACATTCTCCGCCAGCACTGCCAAGCATTGGAACCGAAACCCACCAATGCCACTGCTTGGCTAGGCCCCTTGGAGGGGATTCGCGCCGTGCTGTTCGACATCTACGGCACGTTGTTGATCTCTGCGAGTGGAGATATCGGGCTGGCAGACGACACGGTGCGTGGGGATGCAGCCACCGAAGCGCTGAAGGCAATGGGTCTTAAGCCTGCGGTAGCGGGTGATTCCGTTGTAGAGCTATTGCACGAAACAATCCGCCAATCGCATGCCGCCTCCAAAGAGCGGGGGATCGAATACCCCGAAGTGGATATTCGCGATGTTTGGAAAACGACCCTGGAAAGCCTTCAGCAAGCCGGCCAGATCGAAGGCGACATTGCGGTCGACTTGGAACGGTTATGCGTGGAGTATGAAGTCCGCACCAATCCGGTTTGGCCCATGCCAGGGGTGCGAGAATGCCTGGAGACCTGCCGCGATATGGAGCTGGTACTGGGTATCATCAGCAACGCCCAATTCTTTACAGCGCCGCTGTTCGACGCTCTTTTGGGTTCGAATCTCGACGATCTGGGCTTCGATGCCGAGCTTCGATACTATTCGTACGAGTCTGGTGAGGCCAAACCCGGCACGGTTCTGTACCAAAAGGCTGCACAAATATTGAGTTCTCGGGGGATTACCCCTGGAGAGACTCTATATTTGGGTAATGATATGCGGAACGACATATTCCCCGCCCAGAAGGTAGGCTTTCGAACGGCACTTTTTGCCGGCGATGCACGAAGCCTGCGGAGACGTGAAGACGACCCGCGGATTTCTGCCATTCAGCCGGATTTAGAGATCGTTCATCTGGCGGACCTGCCTGAATGTCTCACCAAGCGTCCGTCCCCCTAGAAGCAAGAAGTTAGAAGTCGATCATGGGTAACAGGATTGGGTTTATCGGGACCCGTTTTGCCGGAACCGACGGAGTCTCTCAGGAAAGTGCCAAATGGGCCCAGGTGCTGTGGGATCATCAGCACATCAGCTTCTGGTACGCGGGCAAACTCGACCGCGACCCGGGCACCAGCATGCTGGTCGAAGAAGCCTACTTCGGCCATCCCGACAACATCTGGATCAACGAGAACGTGTGGGGGAAACTCCGCCGCGATCCCTCGGTTACCCGGCGAATTTATGAGATTGCCGCTCATCTAAAGGAATCGCTGTACAGCTTCGTCGAGCGATTCGATATCGAGTATTTGATGATCGAGAATGCGCTCAGCATTCCCATGCACTTGCCATTGGGGATTGCGCTCACGCATTTTCTGGCCGAAACCAACATTCCGGCTATCGCCCATCATCACGACTTTTACTGGGAGCGAAGTCGCTTCTCGGTCAGCAATGTGGGCGACATCTTGTCGATGGCCTTCCCGCCTTCGTTGCCCTCGATTCAGCACGTGACGATCAACTCATTCGCTCAGCAAGACTTGTCCTGGCGACGTGGGGCCTCGTCAGTGCTGGTGCCCAACGTGCTCGATTTCGAGCAGCCCCCTGAAGAACCCGAGGAAGAAGCCTCTCAATTCCGCGCCGATTTGGGTCTAAATCCAGACGATATTGTTTTTTTACAGCCGACCCGAGTTGTGCCGCGAAAGGGCATTGAGCACTCGATTTCGTTGCTCGCGCAACTTAATGATCCTCGATGCAAACTATTAGTAAGTCACGAAGCCGGCGACGAAGGGCCCGACTACATGATGGCCCTGAAAGACATGGCCGAGCAGGAAGGTGTCGACATGCGATTCATCGACACCTGGGTCGGCGATTTCCGTCGTAAGCCGGGAAGTGGCAATGGGAACGGTGAACAACGCGAAAAGAAATACACCCTGGGTGACGCATACGCATACGCCGACTTCATCACCTATCCAAGCTTGTATGAAGGCTTCGGCAACGCGCTGCTCGAAGCGTTCTACTATCGCAAGCCTGTGTTGGTGAATCGTTACTCGATTTTCATCAACGATATCGAGCCCAAAGACTTCCAAGTCATCACCATGGATGGGTATCTCACGCGAGAGACGGTTGCCAAAGTTCGGCGAGTTGTCGATGATGCAGACTACCGGGAAGAAATGGTGACCAGGAATTACGAGTTAGGGAAAGCCTTCTTCAGCTATTCCGTTCTGCGGCGAAAGCTGCGGGCATTGATCACCAACTTCTCTGGCTTGGATAACTTGTAAGAAACCGCAGCATACAGGGTGACCGCGATGTTGCTGGATGCACAAGCGATCTCCCGTCTCCGTTCGCATCTCGAACATTTGTACGGCGATGATTCTACAGCGGCGCTGGAGACCCTCTCGCAGGTTCTCGCACAGTATGGCACGCTAACCCGAGACGAAGAGCCAAGCACCTGGGACGAACGTGATGTGGCGCTCATTGCCTATGGCGATCAGATCCACGCCCCAGATAAGACGTCGCTGGCCGCTCTCGGTGAATTCCTCGACGGAGCGGGCTTCGATCAACTTCTAAACACGATCCACCTCCTACCGTTCTTCCCGTACTCCTCCGACGACGGGTTTTCGGTAATCGACTATCGCCAGGTCGATCCAAAAGCGGGAACGTGGGAAGACATAGATCGGCTGGGAAGCAATTACCGGCTTGCCTTCGACTTAGTGTTGAACCATTGTTCGCGCGAAAGCCAATGGTTTAAGGATTACCTGGCAGGCAAGCCACCGTACGACGAGTATTTCGTCGAGGCCGATCCCACGGTGGATCTCTCGGCCGTCACGCGCCCCCGCAGTTTGCCGCTGCTAACGGAGTTTGAAACGAGCCGCGGCACTCGCCATCTGTGGACCACCTTCAGCGACGATCAGATCGATCTAAACTATGCCTCACCCAAACTGATGGCTGAGATGATGGACGTGCTGCTGTTCTATGTGCAGCACGGGGCTCGAATCGTACGGCTCGATGCCATCGCTTATCTGTGGAAGGAACCCGGCACCACTTGTATTCATCTCCCGCGGACGCACACCGTGGTGCGTCTGATGCGTGAAGTGCTTTCGATGGTCGCCCCTGGAGTGTGGCTGCTTAGTGAAACCAACGTTCCACACCAAGAGAACATCAGCTACTTCGGCGCCGGCGACGAAGCGCAGCTTGTTTATCAATTCAGCCTGCCACCACTCCTGCTCGATGCTTATCTGAATGAAGACGCAGGCCCCCTTACGGCCTGGCTGCCGGAAGTGTGTGAGACGCTCCCAGGAACCACCTTCTTCAATTTCACCGCATCGCACGATGGTGTCGGTGTTCGGCCCCTCGAGGGGCTCGTGCCCAATGAACGGATTGATCGCTTAGTCGAAGCTGTGAAACAACGGGGCGGAGCGGTCAGCACACGGAAACGCCCCGACGGAACCGACTCGCCGTACGAACTGAATATCTCGTACCTCAGTGCATTGGGCGAGCCCGGCGGCATGGACCCGACGTTGCACGCTCGGCGGTTTCTTGCATCGCAGGCAATCATGCTCTCGCTAAGAGGCATACCGGGCATTTATTTCCACAGCCTCGTCGGCACACCCAACGATGTCGAAGGCTGGAAATCCTCGGGCATTCCCCGCCGAATCAACCGCCACCGCTATGAACTGTCAGAACTCGAGAGCGTTCTCGGCGAGGCCGACGGGCTACAGGCACAGGTGCTCGAAGGCTATCAACACCTGTTGAAGACTCGGATCGCTCAAAGTGCGTTCCATCCCGAGGCCCAGCAGCATCCCTTAGTCTTACCAGTAGATGGTGTGTTCGGCTTCGTGCGGCAAAGTAACGAGGCGAACCAGCAGATCGTGGTGCTTGCCAACCTGTGTGGAACCTCTCGCAGTGTCGACCTTTCGGTGATAGAAGCCGGGCCGCTTTCACGTGATTTGCTTACAGGACAGAACATCGAGGATCCTACGGACTTCCAGCTTCAACCCTACCAGGTAGTTTGGCTCGAGGCCAAATCGCACTAGAATCTCCGTGTCCTTCTCGCTGCTCATTCGGTCACTTTGAATGTCGTTTCACGACCTGCGAACAGTCCAGAACATCGGTTTCGTCTCGTCTCGCATTTCCGGCACGGATGGGGTCAGCCTGGAGATTGCCAAGTGGGCGGAGATTCTAGAACGGATGGGCTACGACTGTTTCTACGTGGCAGGCTATTCCGATCGACCCGCCCACCGCACGCGCACGATCGATCTGGCCGACTTCCGGCATCCTACGATCCGCGAAATTTCTGAGGTGGCATTTTCAGAGACCCTTCGCACCCCGGAAATTACCAGAGAGATCCACGACGCCAAGAATATCATCAAGCAAGAATTATATGGTGCGATCCAAGCCCTCGAACTGCAATTGTTGATCGTCGAAAACGCGCTTACGATCCCCATGAATATCCCGCTGGGACTTGCCCTGGTCGAAGTGATCATGGAATCAGGCATCCCCTGCATCGCTCATCATCACGATTTCGTCTGGGAGCGAGAGCGTTTTTTGTTGAACTCGGTCGAAGACTACCTGATGGCAGCCTTTCCACCACCGATCAAGTCGATCGAGCATGTGATCATCAATTCAATCGCGGCAAACGAATTTAGCCGCCGTACGGGTCTGTCGTCGCACATGATCCCCAACGTGATGGACTTCGACACGCCACCGCCCCCGCTCGACGACTTTGGCCGAGGGTTTCGAGCCGACATCGGGCTCGCAGAAGATGACCTGTTGATCCTGCAACCCACGCGGGTTGTTCGGCGAAAGGGAATTGAGCACTCCATCGAACTCGCCCATCGCTTAGCACCCGAGCGGGCAAAACTCGTCATTACGCACGACAGTCACGATGAGGGCGATCGCTACCTGCGACGAATCGAAGATTATGCCAATCTCTTGGGCGTGGAGCTTGTATTCGCGAATAATCGTATCGGCGCCGTTCGTGGCACTTCGCCTCAAGGGCATAAGCTCTACGGTGTGTGGGATGCCTATCAAAACGCCGATTTGATCACTTACCCCTCGACATACGAGGGCTTCGGTAATGCCTTTCTCGAGACGGTCTACTACAAGAAACCCATCGTTTGCAATCGCTACTCCATCTACCGCACCGATATAGAACCGTGCGGTTTTCGGGCAATCGTCATGGACGGTTATCCTACGGATGAGGTTGTGAGTGAGATGCGGCAGGTGCTAGCCAATGCAACCCTTCGTGAAGAGATGGTCGAGCACAACTACCAGGTGGCCAAGGAATATTTTTCGTACGGTCGCGCTGCCACTGAACTGGCAGCAATTTTGAATCGCCCATTGCCGCGCGGGCTCCCCTCCCAGTCCTCCATTCCGTAAAGCAATCCGCACCCATTCGGTTCGTATTCGTAACCAGGCACGGGCGTTCCAGCACAGTGGGGCTGTCGCCGATTTTCGTCGGCTTCGCTACAATTAGGGCGACTCTTAGGCGGCCACCATTCTTCCTGGAACAAATCGTACGCACGGAGCAACCGAATGGCCGATTTCCATCAGCACGGTCCGATCACCACCCTTCACGATCTGCAAACCGTCGACCTCGAGCGGCTCGAGTCGGTGCTCACTTCAGCGTGCCGCGACTACCGAATCGGGCTCATCCTTCCGACCACGGCCTCAGACATGAGGGCGGCTCCGTTTGCGAAAATCGTCAACCAACTGGTCGAGGCAAAGTACCTGCACCACATCATCGTGGTTCTCGGAATGGCGCCCGATGTGGACGACTATCACGAAACGCGCCGCATCATTGAGCCCCTAGGCAGCCGAGCACAAATTTTGTGGACCGATGGAAAACGCACACAAGACCTTTACTCCACGCTTGAGGAAGCAGAGATTGTCTTAGGCGCACCGGGAAAAGGCCGTGCAGTATGGACCGCCTTCGGCTACCTGGCGGCCGACCCGACGCTGAATGCCTACGTTCTGCAAGATTGCGACATCGTTTCTTACGATCGCACGATGCTGGCCCGATTGTGTCTTCCGATGGCCCACCCGAGTCTCGATTTCGAGTTCTGCAAAGCCTATTACGCGCGGTGCACCGATCGCCTGCACGGCCGCGTGGTACGCCTGCTGGTCTCACCACTTATCGAGGCCCTGATAGCCGTGCTCGGCCACAGCCCATTTCTTTCTTATATGGAAAGCTTCCGCTATCCTCTGGCCGGCGAGTTTGCACTATCAGCCTCGCTTGCCCGCTCGAACCGCATTCCCAGCGATTGGGGCCTGGAAGTCGGTACGCTGGCTGAAGTCTTCCGTAACCTTTCACCCAAAAAAGTGTGTCAGGTTGACTTGTGCTGCAAGTACGAACACAAGCATCAAGACTTGTCGCTGGAAGATCCCAACAAGGGCCTCATGAAGATGGCCCGCGATATCTTGACGACCATGTTCCGAACACTGGCCAGCATGGGTGCCGTGCTTGAGCCAGGGCACTTCAACACCATTCGCTCGGCCTATGTGCGAGCCGCCCAAGACGCCATCCGCCAGTACCACGCCGACGCCCTGATTAACGGGCTGGAGCTTGCCAGACACACCGAAGAACACGCCGTGGATGGGTTCGCCGAACAGATCATGGTTGCCGGCGAAGCATACCAGAACTCCCCCTCGGGCAGTCCCGCCATTCCCAACTGGGCCCGCATCGTCTCGCTCTTCCCCGACTTTCCCCAACGGCTTCGCGCAGCCGCGGAAGAGGACGCCCGCGAACTCACCGCGTAAGTTCCTTTCCCGCCCCAAGTACCATTGACAAACCCGCCCCGGTGAAGCAAGTTGGTTGTCTCACTCTTCGCCGGAGTGGCGGAATTGGCAGACGCGCTGGATTCAAAATCCAGTGCCCGCAAGGGCGTGTGGGTTCGAGTCCCACCTCCGGTATCTTCTTTGTATTCCCTGTCCTGGGAATCTAGTTTCTGGAAACCTGCGATTAGGGTCGAAACGCACGCAATTGGTGCGCAGTCGTTTACCCAGCAGGTTGAATTCCTTCTCCTGTCCTTATTCCTCGGCGTCTTGGGTGCCGATTACGCGGACTTGGGTTGAGAGGAAGTAGGGCATCTTCGGGCCGGCATAGGTGGCCTCTCCGAACATGGCTGCGTACCCCTGCTCGGGCTGGGGCAGGGTGTGTGAGTAAGTCCCATCAGCTTGTTTTTCCATGGGCGTCGAACTCCATTTCACCTCGCGGAAATCCCGAGTGGGGCTGCTGGCGATCCACGCCACGACCTGCTTCGGGTCCTGATCCGAATTGACCGAAAGCTTCAACCCATCGGCCGACTCGTCCAGCTTCCAGCTCAAATCGGGCCAGGTAATGTTCCCCGCTGCTTTTTGATTCAACGCAGCGATTGAACCCAAGAGACGGCGAAAGTCGTTGATGCCGTGGCCGTTGTTGGGGACGTAGAGAATGTACTTCTCCCCGATCAGATCGTCCCAGTAGATGTTCAACGCATCGAGGACCCAATAACGGTCGTTGGTGCCAATAATCAGCAGCTTCGGTTGATCGAGCAGATGTCGATAGTTGTAAGGATCAACGATCTTGTTGACCATCTTGCCAGCCTCGGTCTTGGCCTTCGACTGGATGCCACGCTCGGTGTAGTCCTGAACCTGCTCGGAGTATTCGCCCCAGGTCTCAAGCTGATGGGCCATTTGAACGTCCATGTTCAGCACGTCGATCACGATGGGGGCGATTGCATTTGCCCGAGGATCAACCGCACCAGTAAGCCATGTGGTCCATCCACGCTTCGAGGCACCCGTCACCGTGAAGTTGTCGATTTGCAGGTCCCACTCATCCTTCGCGAATTCCTGCACGGCATCCATCGCACGAACGGCACTCTTCACCATCGGCAACAGCAAAGGCCATTCATAGTCGCCGGTCTTCATGGCCTGATCGAACGTGTAGGCGATGATCTCGTCTTCAACTTTACCGTCGAAGATAGGCTGCATCGGTACGTGGGAAAGTAACGCGATCGGCGATCCGCTGGCCTTGGCTGCCTGAGCCATGATGGTTGCTTCGCTGGGCAACTGGGGATCGCCCTCGACCGGTTCTTCCAATTCAGGCTTCCAGCCTCCACCGGAAATGAGCATCACCGCCTGATTGGGTGCTGTCATTTCTTCTGGTTTCAGGATGAATAGCTGGTGCTTCCAGACGATATCTCGCCAGGTCTGGCTGTAGAGGGTGAGTTCGACGAATTCGACACCCGCGATTTCGCCTTCTTGCCGCTTTGTCCACTTGTAGGTGTCGTCGGCCTTGGCCACATACTTATGAAGTGGACCATCGGCCGAAGGTTTCTCGGCCCGTGCAGGTGCCGTTGCCAAAACCACAATTGCAGCAAGAACTAAGACCTGATTGCCAAACAGCTTATTCACGTTATTCTCCTGAAGCGATTTATCACCCGCGGCCGTTCTATGGCGGCAGAGCGACTTTACATGGGCGGGGCAGAGCCCGCGTTTGTTTTGGATTTCCCAAGATTGATTACCGCACCCCAGTCGAGTTTCGCCCCAGGGGTGAACTCCCTATCTTGGCTGACTCGCAGGGAGACTGCAATCGACACGATTGCCAATAAGACGAAAACCGCCTCACCGCTGGCATCCCCTGCAACTTGGGATGCCAAAAACTTCACTGATCCTGGGGCCGATGGTAAGCTGTCTGTTTGGGACAAAGCTCGGCTCGGACGTTCCGAGAGCTGCGATCGCTGAGCCCCCCACGAATGGTAGATTGATCTCTTCGCTTGAAGGTCACCCGCACGCAGTTCGATCTTCCGCCGGCTGAACGGTACTGCCGACACCCCAGTTGGAAGTTGCATATGCTGACGAGTTCGGTAGTCACTGCCGCATCGATTCCAGATTCTTCTGCGATCTCGTCCTCGGCGAGCAGCGCGATCAACCGCCTGTTGGAGCTATCCCCCACAGCGCTTCGCGCCAGAATGGAAGCTCGGCTTTGGCGGACGTTGCCTTGGCACCTCTGCTTCCTCATCGTCGCACAACTATGGGGCATCATCGACTCGTTCCTAACGCGCACGCCAAATTCTGCATTCCTACTTTCGCTTCCGGCCACCTCGCTCATTCTGGTGATGTCCGGTGGTCTTGTATTTCGGTTGCGGCATCCTGAATACATTGCGGGAGTCCGCTACTGGATCCTCGGCATCCTCGTCTACATTGCGCTATCGAGCATGCTCGTACTGGTTGTCACGCACGACACGCGAGTTTACGGCGCTGTTCTAATAAACATTCTGTACGCCAGCCTCGCGCTTCCCTCACAATCTCTCTTCCTGGGGTACGTCGCTTTTCTCATGGCAATGTTTGTGCCTACGCTTCCTTGGTGGAATGCAGATGAGCAGACAGTCACCCTCTACATCTACCTTTTCTGGAGCCTATGCAGCTACCTGATCGTCGTGGGCCGCACGCGCTACGCGAGCAAAATCGATGGACTCACCTGGCGCGACGAGCGGTTGAACATCGAACTTCAAGCGACCGTACATCGACTGCAAGAAGAAGCGCGAGAGAGACACGCAGCCGAGACCGAGCTACGTGCCAGCGAAGCTCGTTACCGCTCAATCTTCAACAATGTGGTGGTCGGTGTGTTCCAATGCGATCCCAATGGGCGCTTCATGCTTATCAACAGTACTCTCCACAGAATGATGGGCTATCGCTCGACGGATGAGTTCTTCGCCGACGCACGACGAACCGACAACCCGCGGAACCCAGTTCTTGCCTTGCGAGAGCGAGTGATCAGAGTTGCCTCTCGGCCCTCGACTTCAGGAACCACCTTGCGATTGGAGCAGGCCGATGGAACCCCGCTGACGGTCATTTTGTACGCCCGTCAACTCGTGGGAGACGACGGCTACCCTGGAGGAATCGAGGGGCTTGTCGTTAATATTACAGAACGTGAGGCAGCCGAAGAAAAACTCAGGCAGCAGCAAGAACGGCTCGCGAAAGCCTCACGAATCGCCGCATTGAGCGAAGTTTTTGTGGCCATTTCACATGAGGTGAGTCAACCGCTGTTTGCAATCTCCAACTTCGCCAATGCCTCTCTTGAAAAGATGGAGCATCTGGATCAAACAGATCTGGACGATGTCGTAGAGTGGAATCGAAAGATTGCGGCCCAGGCAGAGCGTGGAAGCGAAATCATTCGCCGTTTGCGCGGCCTCTCTCGACAAGCGAAACCATTGCGGTCAAACGTTCCCTTGTCGCTCGTCATCTACGAGTCGCTCGCCATGGTTCAGGCGCCTTTAGACGAATTGAACGTACGGGTTCGCATCTGCGAAGATGACCCTTCGGTGGAGGTGCTTGTAGATCCTTTGCTAGCCGAGCAAGCCCTGGTGAATTTGCTGCGAAACGCTTGCGACGCCATGAGAGACACTGAACCAAGCAACCGTCTACTCACTATCCACGTCTCTGCACAAGAGACCTCTGGCACAACCACAGTGTCGATCGGCGATTCCGGATGCGGCCTTCCTGAAAATGGTGACAGCCAGCTATACGATTCGTTTTACACTACGAAATCAGACGGATTGGGCATCGGGCTGGCTGTCTGTCGCACCGTGGCGAAAGCGCATGGTGGGCGGCTTTGGGCCACTGAGAATCAAGCGGGTGGGGCAGTGTTCCACATGTCGTTTCCCACGGTACTGGAAGCTTCGCATGACGGCGATTGAACAACCCACAATTTTCATTGTCGATGATGACATTGCTGCTCAAGAATCGATGGCCGCAATCACCAGCGCCATGGGGTTGCGCTCGAAACGGTTTAGTTCGGCAACAGAGTTCTTAGATGCCTACGACCCAAGTGAGTCGGGATGCCTTATCACCGACGAGCGAATGCCGGGCATGAGTGGCATCGAGTTACTGCGAACCTTTCAGAAACTCTCTTCGAACGCGCCTTCGATTCTCATCACGGCCTACGCCGACGTGCCTCTGACTGTGGAAGCCATGCAATACGAGGCGGTAACCGTTCTCGAAAAACCTTGCCAGCACCAAGAGCTTCGCAAGGCGATTCGTACCGCGTTGAAACGGGAAGAGTCGCGGCAACGCGATCTCGTGCGAAGACGCATGGTCTCCGAGCGGTTGGCTTCTTTGACCGATCAAGAATCGCAGGTCATGCACAAGCTGCTGAAAGGTGCGGCCAACAAGTCGATCGCCTCTCAGTTAGGAATCGGTATACGAACCGTGGAGAAGCGGCGGCACGACATCTTGAAAAAGATGCAGGCAAACACCCCCGTACACTTGGCCTATCTAATTGCCCGCTACACCCAGATCGAGCCCGATTCCCCTTGAATTTCGTGCTCGCCAGGACCGATGCTACGCGGAGGCTGTCTTCCATAAGCCCCCATCAATTCAGGCACTTGCGACAATTATCACCCCCCATTTGAACCAGGATTTTGCGGGTCCCCGCATGATTGTGCGGATACCCGCACAAGATTGCGGGATTCAGTTATTGATAGCTTGAGGGGGCGCTTGGCATTCTAGATGGTGCCTAGTTTAGGAAGCAGAGAATCATGCAACTTGTGGCGCTCCGTGGGGGAGCGATGCAGAGCTTCGGGATGGGGGAATAGGAAGATCGCATAGCTTCTGGATCGACTTTGTGAACACCGCCAAGAACGAGAAAGCCACCGCATCGGGCCAACTCGCCGCGGAACAGAGACGCGAGAAGCTACCACAGTGCTTGCCAAGTTTCCTGAACGGAAACACCTGTTGGCCGGTGACTTAGGGGCAGCGCCGGCCCGGGTGTATCTCTAGCGGCCCCTCAGTGAATCACTCTCGATTCGCTCGTTCACACGCCATTCTTCTGGCACGTCTCATGCGACTTCGGGTATTCGGTTCGCTATCCTGAATACCTGGGATTCCGAGCGAGGTTCGTTCTCGCCGCCATCGATTGATTACGCCCTCCAAACTCGCAACGAGGAATCTGCATCTTGCTCTGTGGACGAACAATTGGCGGTACTCTGCGCTACCTTACTTGGGTCCTCTCGCTACTTACGATTGGTGCAACTCTCACCGCCGTAAAATCGACCCAGGCGGCCAACAAACCCAATATTGTGCTCGTCTTCATCGACGACATGGGTTGGGGAGACTTCTCTTGCTTCGGCAACACCCAAGCCCAAACACCGAACATCGACCGCTTGGCGGGTGAAGGGGTTCGCTTCGAGCAGTTCTATGTGAACTCTCCCATCTGTTCGCCGTCGCGCACCGCCATCTCAACCGGACAATACCCACAACGCTGGCGGATAACGTCGTACTTGGCTCACCGTAAGGCGAACAACAAACGCGGGATGGCCCAATGGCTCGATCCAACCGCCCCCATGTTGGCTCGATCGCTTCACGACGCAGGCTACGCCACCGGCCATTTTGGTAAATGGCACATGGGTGGGCAGCGCGATGTCGACAACGCCCCAGCGATTGCAGACTATGGGTTCGACGCATCGCTCACCAATTTCGAAGGCATGGGCCCCAAGCTTCTGCCACTTACGCTGAAGCCTGGCCAGGAAGAACCCGACCGCATCTGGCAAGATGCCGAACGCCTGGGCGAAGGGTATCGCTGGATGCTTCGTTCGAAGATCACAGGCGGATTCGTCGATGCGGCCATCCCGTTCATGGCCGAAGCCGCCGCCAACGACCAACCGTTCTATATCAACCTCTGGCCCGACGACGTCCACAGCCCCTTCTGGCCACCAGTCGAAGAGTGGAGTGACACCAAGCGAGGATTGTACTACTCAGTGCTGGAAGAGATGGATCGACAGTTAGGAAAGCTGTTCGACTATATACGCAACAATGAGACTCTTCGCGAGAACACCCTGGTACTGGTCTGCTCGGACAATGGACCTGAGCAGGGTGCAGGTCAGGCGGGCCACCTTCAAGGATTCAAAACGCAACTCTACGAGGGTGGTGTCCGCTCGCCGCTAGTGGTGTGGGGACCGGGCTTGGTCAAACAGCAGGGCCATGTGAATCGCAGCTCCGTATTCTGCGCGATGGATCTAGTTCCTTCACTGCTCACTATAACGGGCACACCACAACCCGATGGCGCAACATACGATGGCGAGTCACTCCCGGAGGTCTTGCTAGGCACCTGCGATCGTTCCCGAGAAGCCCCCATCTTCTTCCGCCGCCCGCCCGATCGCGACAGCTTCTACGGCGACGACGATCTACCCGACCTGGCCGTACGCGACGGTCGCTGGAAGCTACTGTGCGAGTACGACGGTTCCGACCCAGAACTCTACGACCTACAGACAGACCCCAGCGAAACCAACAATCTCACCACCGAATCTCCCGAAGTCACCGCCCAACTCACAGAATCTCTCACTGCTTGGCACAATTCGATGCCGCAGGATAACGGGGCCAAGCTGTCTCAAGACGCGAAGAAGTAGCGATTTCGTGTCCGTCGACCAGGAACATCTTTGCATCGTGCATGAACTTGTTAATTCACGATGTGTCCTATTAAGAACGAGACTATAATCCCACACTCGTAACTTTTTCGATTGCCTTGCCAGAAACAAATTAACTCTCGACTTCCCGCAATGCCCACTCCAGTACTAGGAATTGAATTAGGTACGACAAATTCGCTCTGTGCTGTATTTCTCGATGGCGAGCCGAGGCTGGTACCCAATTCCTTAGGTGAAGTCCTCACACCTTCAGTAGTCGGCATCTTGGATGACGGTCAAGTCGTGGTGGGAAGCGCTGCGCGAGAGCTGCGTGTTACTCGCCCAGAACGATGCGTATCATGCTTCAAGCGTTGGATGGGAAGTGACAAGCGAATTGTTATCGCGGGGCACACGTTCACAGCTCCCGAGCTTTCAAGCTTGATTCTGGGCGCACTCCGCGAAGATACGGTCACTTTTCTTGGGGAGCCCGTCACCGATGCCGTCATCACGGTGCCAGCTTACTTCAATGACAATCAGCGAAAGGCCACGCGTTTAGCTGGAGAACTTGCCGGATTGAATGTGCGTCGCATTCTCAACGAGCCAACTGCGGCAGCACTCACCTATGGCTTTCATGATCGAAACGCTGAAAAGATGCTTCTCGTGCTCGACCTTGGGGGCGGAACCTTTGACGTGACTCTCATGGAGGTCTTCGAGGGCACACTGGAGATTATCTCGACCGCCGGGGAGAACTTTCTCGGCGGAGAAGATTTCACCGACAGACTCCTCGCTTCGCTCCTAAAGCAATCGAATGAACAACTCGAAACCGCCGAACTACAGCAGCCGCTGCGTATCGCTCGGCTGCGTCAACAGTGTGAATTTGCCAAGCGACAACTCAATGATGTAGCCGAAGTTCAGATCGCTATTCCAGATATCGAAGGCCAACTGGGCGTTGACTCCGAAAACGTCACGGTAAGTGCCAATTCGTTTGCGGAAAGTGTTCGGCCTTTGTTGCAGCGGATTGTCAGTCCATTGGAGAAGGCGCTACGTGATGGAGAATGCGAGGTCGATCGACTCGACGAAGTCATCTTGGTCGGCGGCGCCACGCGGATGGCAGTTCTAAAGAACTTTGTGGAAGAACACTTCCGTCGTGCCCCGCTCAGCGAGCACGACCCAGATCAGGTTGTCGCCCTTGGAGCAGCCATTCAGGCAGCGCTGATTGCCAACGATGCGGCCGTAGAAGAGATGGTGATGACTGATGTGTGTCCGTTCACATTGGGCGTCGACACCGCCAAGCATATGGGCCTGCAACTCAAGAGTGGTTATTTTGTGCCCATTATTCACCGCAATACCACCATTCCAGTATCAAAGGAACAGGTTTTCCAGACCATCGCCCCCAACCAACGCGAGGTGACAATCGACGTCTACCAAGGGGAACATCGCAAGGTAGAAGAGAACCTGAAACTAGGGACTCTCGTCGTAAAAGGAGTCCCTTCAGGACCGGCTGGCCAGGAAATTTATATCCGTTTCACCTACGATCTAAATGGCATTATTGAGGTCGAGGCATACCTGCAGGCAGTGATAAGAAGTACCGCACGGTGCTCACTCAGCACGCGCAAGCACTCTCGCAATCAGAGATCCAGGAGGCCACCAAGCGATTACAGCGTCTGAAGTATTACCCAAGAGAAGACATGGAGAACCAGCGCATTCTCCGCTTCAGCGAACGCATTGTGGGTGAGATCTCACCTCTGCAACGAGAGTCGCTGGAGGTCGCCATCGATGCGTTTGAGGCAGCGATGAACTCTGCCCAGCGTGAAGAAGTCGAGGGCGCTAAAATGGGGTTGGTTCAGGTACTTTCGCTGCTGGGCTACTCCCTCCCAGGTCCAGATTCGGGGCACGATGGATAACGAGCGACAGGACGAAGATAATCAGGATGGCGACCTGCAAGAGTATCTTACCAAGATGCTGCAGCTAAATCCCTTGTACGAAGGCGATCGAATCGTCTCGCTTCGTGCAAAACGTCTGAGACATCGGCTCTCAGAATCCGCCTCGCCAGACTTAGAGGAAGTGGATCAGCGTTCGGCGCAACTTCAAGAGTTGCAAGCCATCCGTAATGTGTTCTGGAAGGACTCGGTGGAATCAATTCGAGCCCGGCTAAATGAACTCAACGTAGAAGAATTTCACGAGCTTCGGGCTCCGGTTGCTCGCTTGCAATTGGTGGCAGAACATCGCGATCGCCTCGCTGGCTTCCCTACAAGCAAGGGATTCGATGAAGACTTCCTTCATCACCTGAAATGGATCCTAATTGCCTCTCCACGTGATACAGCGAAGTTGCGGGAACAACTTCTCGTGGCGTTTCGTAATCCGAAGAATCGAAAACAGGGACGTCCACTCATTAGGCGGCTCAAAGCCAATTATCCAGAGATCTATTCTCTCGAAGCGGCGTGGCTCTCTGCGCTTACCCAGGAAAAAGCCCGTAAGGTAAAAACCGCACAGAAGGCGAATCCCAAAAGTGGGTCGTGCCTTTTCTGGTTCATCCTAATCGTCTTCGGGCTAAGGATACTCAGAAACCTCTTCTCGGATTAATGTGCGATCACCCAAACCAACCCGATTGGGAACTGTTACGAGCAGCGCCGCAGCAGTTCTTCGAACTAGCTGCTGGATTTGATCGCAAAGATCTCAAACGCAGTTACAACCACTGGAATCGACGATTCAAACCCGAGACTCACCCTGAGGAGTTTCAAAGAATCCGAGCGGCCTACGAAGAGCTCGACCGTCAGTTGAGGTATGGGAGTCGAGCTGAAGGATCAGAGCGTACTCAGCAACCAGCCACAAGTGATGTGTTGCATGACTTCGTTGGGAATGAAGCCGAAGACCGATCAGACAATCTGCTGGAGAGGCTGAAGAGCGAATCGCCGCAATCGCTTTATCTGGCACTTCAGCAGGAGGTCTCTAAGATGCCGTATGACTACTATGCCCTCGCAGTACTCTCCGATGTCTGCGACGAACAGGAAGCATTGTGTTTCGGCAAGTGGCTGCTGAAAGGGATCGAGCAATTCCCACATGATAGAACATTGAGGCACGCATTACAGGCTTACCTGCGGAGTGCAATCCCACCTGCTGAACTGTCTTGCCTACTCATCCAAGTGGCGTCGGTGATCCGCGACGATTCGTTTTATCCTCTGACGGAACCGACTTGGGAACAACTGCTCCGTCAGCAATCATTGGATGAATTTGTCGAGAGGTTGCGCGAATGCGAAAAGCATCTGAGGAGCCCCGACATTTCCAACAAGATCATATTCACCATTCGCATGTTGCGGTCTGCACTGTGGAAAACTGGCTCGGCCTCACGAGAAGCAGTCAACTGGACGTCCGAGAGACTGGCGTTCATCGACACCAATTTCCAACCCATTCCAGTCCAATTGGAATACGAGGTCGATCTGCTAGCATTGGCCCACCAATATGTTCGTCTGCGGCGTGACTTCATCGATGGTGGTGGATTGCGCGCTCGCCTGGATCGCGTGCTGGAAATTTACTTCACAGAAGATTTTCTCTCCGGTGATCGAGCTGTCGTCCTTCAGCAATTGCAGCTAACACGCAATATCGATGAACTTCTCGGAGAATTTCCCTTTGCTAGCGAAGACCCTCCAATGGAAGCATTCTACCCGGTTTGGGCGTCGATTAGCCAAGAGGTTGCCGCAAGGTATGGGGCAATAGAAGACCAGCAAATCGATATGGCCCTATGGTCAAAACGAGCCCAAACATTCCTGGCCCACCTTACATCCAAATCCAACTCTTCGCTGCTAGGGGTATCTTGGACTCTGCTGTCCTTTATCGCAGTCTTGGTGAAAGTCGTGATTTATTTATGCGTGGGCTCGGCACTGCTTACGCTTCCGATCATAATTCTAGTTGCAACCAGTTGGGCAGGTACCAGTGAGTCTGCGGCCATCCTTGCCATTACCGCACTGGTCTGCGTCGTGGTCGTCGCCACGAAGTACGCTGGTCATTGGGCATCTGAAAAACTGATGAGTCGCTTTTATCAACCTCGAATCTTTCGATTGGCTGCGCGTTGCAACAAGAAACTCTGGCGCCCTGAGGCGGTTGAATTACTTGAGCGGTCGCGCCTGCCATTCTCGACTTTCTGCGACTTGCTAGCATATCATGCAAATCGTCCGGGCATGAGCACCGCGGGCTGGATCCATCATTTCATCTCAACCGACTACGGACTGGCGGTATGCTCATTAGCCCTGAGGCATGTCGTCTAAACAACACGCTCACTTCTGATCGCTCCCTCTGGACACTCGCCTCCCCCCCCTGAGTATGCTCGCTGGAGTTCGGCAAGATCCAGCTTCACCATTTGCGTCATGGCTTGGAATGCGCGTTGGGCTTTGGCGGGGTCCTTGTCGGTGATCATTTCGAGGAGTACGCCGGGGGCGATTTGCCAGGCGACGCCGTAGCGATCTCTGAGCCAGCCGCACTGCACTTCCTCGCCGCCGTCGGTAAGCCGCTCCCATAAGTGGTCGATCTCTCTCTGTGAGTCGCAGGAAACCAACAAAGAAAGTGCTTCGGTGAACTTCCAGTCTTGACCGACGTTCAACGCGGTGAAATGCATGCCGGCGATCTGGAAGTCGACGCCGATGATCGTCGAGGGCGGTCCGCCTGGCACCTCGGGGCTGCAAATCTCGCGAATGATCTTTCCATCGTCGAACACCGACACGTAAAAGTTAGCCGCCTCCTCCGCCTGGCTTTCGAAAGACAAGAACGGCGTAATCTCTTGGGCTACCGCCATACTCTCGGCTCCTGAGACTCGTATGAAACTAAGCGGATTCGAATCGAATGACCGGGGCTACTTCACCCGTCGCATCTCGCCAGCCATGAAAGGGAACCATTTGCCATCGTCCATCAGAATAGAAGAGGTGGAAATGATCAGGTCGGGCGATTTAAACTCATACGCGTCACGAAACGTGGTCATCTTGCCGTCGGCCATGAAGTTGGGACCTTCCGCCTCGAGAGCCAGTACTTTTCCAGATTCGTCGACCGTTCCCTCATAGTTCCACATATGGCTGGTAGCCGAATCAACCCAGGTACCGACGTATTTCTTCTTCGCAGGATCGTAGCCAATGGTTTGAATCGCATTCATCGTTGATCCTTCAGTCTCGTAGCTAACTTCTGAGATAACCCAAAAGCCACCCAGCATGCGGGAGGTCATCGAGCCTGCACTTTTCATCGGCGGCTGATCGGGCCCCATCGGACACTCCGAAGTTGCTTCCCACTTACCAACGAACTGTTCCAGCCATTGGTGTTCTTTCTCGGGTGCAGGGAATTCCGCAGGTTCTTGAGCGTTAGAGTTTGCGCAGCACAGGGCCACCAGGCACACGGCGAACAATGGTGTATAGCACTTCATCTCAGTTGTCCTCAGTCGGAAATATCGAGTTACGTCACACTCAATCACATGATTACTTCAGGGCTTGATTTAATTTGACGGCGAGCGGCCGATGGCCAGGCTGAAAATCTCCGGCATCCGGAATCCCATGGCCAGCCATACCAGAACCCCCATCAACACCGGAAAGAAAAAAGGCTCTCCCACGCGAACATGAGTGACTGTGGCACCGCCCAAGTACCCAGTGAGCAAAATGGCGGCCAGAAATCCGGCGCGAGGCACTACCAACAAGATCGCGATGATGACCTCAACAACTCCGATCTTCGTCATCAGTTCAGTGGTAAAACCCATCTTCTCAAACATCTCTTCCTTGCCTTCCCAGTCGAGGAATTTTCCACTCGCGCTGGCCCCGACGAGAAACAAGGCAATGAGAACGCTGAGCACCCAACCCGTGATTCGTAATTTTTTCGATCCTGCCACCGCGTCACTCCTCATACAGATACGTCTCTAAATGGTCCACTGACGAATGGCTTAGCATTCTACAGCTTCAGCCTGGTAGCCCAGATAGTTCGAAAATGGGACGAATCTCTGCCGTGCCCCGTCGGGCTCCCGGTATCTTGGCGGCCACAGCGATGGCTTCATCCAGGTTCTCGACGTCGATGAGGAAGTAACCGCCCAGTTGTTCCTTTGTCTCGGGGAAGGGTCCGTCCGAGACGATTTGCTTTCCGTCGCGAACGCGTACACAAGTCGCCGTCTCGGGTGGCTGTAACGGTGAAGCCGATACATACCGCCCTTCACCATTCAGTGTATGGCACAGTTCAATCGATTCTTCGAGGGCCACCTTGTGATCGTCCGGCGGCCAGGCACCCGGCTCGGCGTATAACAGGACTAGGTATTTCATTCGTTCCCACAATGCTCATCAGGGCCCATGTTGTTGACCGCTTCCCGGAGTTCTTCCTCGCTAACGTCGCGAGCATGCGTGGCAATCGACCAGTTGTGACCGAACGGATCTTCGACGATTCCATAGCGATCGCCCCAAAACATATCGTCGATTGGCATCACAACTTTGGCCCCCGCCTTCACTGCTCGCTCGACAAACACATCGACGTCTTCAACGTTCAGGTGCAGCGTGACCGGAGTTCCACCAAGCAGATTGGGGCCCTTCATTCCGTACTCGGGGTTCTCATCGACCAGCATCACCATCGATTCGTCAATCCGCATCGCGCCGTGCATCAGCTTGCCGTCGGGCCCCGGCATCCGCATCATTTCTTCGGCGGCGAAAGCTTCCTTGTAAAAGTCCATCGCCCGGCCAGCCCCATCGCATACCAGGTGGGGGCTGAGTTGAGGAAGCCCCTTCGCCGTCTCGGATTTCGCTGTCTCAACACTCATGATTTGTTTCTCCAGTTGATGTGATGGTTGCCGTAGAGCAATGCATCACTTGGTTTCTTGGGTCTGTTGGGCCTGACCGACCACTGGCAGGTTGGACACCTCGAAGATGGGGCGAATCTCAACCGTGCCCACCGATACCGGTGGCAACCGGCTGGCAATGGCGATGGCCTCATCGAGATCCTCGACGTCGACAATGTAATAGCCACCTAGTTGCTCCGTCGTCTCTGCGTAGGGGCCATCGGTGATCTGTCGCTTCCCGTCACGAACCCGCACGCTCGTGGCTGTCGCCACGGGATGAAGTGGGGAGGAAGCGATGAACTTCCCCTCGGCGGCCAGTTCATGGCAAATGTCGGTCGATTTCTCCATGCAGGCACTTCGTTCTTCCTCAGTCCAACTGTCTTCTGCTCCGTAGATCAGCAACATGTATTTCATGATCAGGTCTCGCTAGCTTTCACAGGGAGGTTCTGCCGCCCCATAGTCCGGGGTTTCGAGCACAGCAGGGTCGGCAATAAAAAATGCTTCGTTGGTCATCGGGTTAAAGGGAATCGACACGTGCTCGTGAACCGCTTTCCACACTCCGTCGATGCGGCGATAGCACGCGGTAACTCGCATCCAGGTTGTCCCACAAGGATGATCCGCGGGTGTGGGAATAAAGTGATGCACGCAATGCACAAACGCGAGATCACCATCGACATTGATTACTATGTCCCGATGCTCTGAGGTGAACTTCTCGGGAAAGTATGGAAAGCACATTTCCCAAACCTTGCGGATGTTGGCCGCGCCCTGCGTCTTGTAAGGCGGCATCGCGTCGAACAGCACAGCTTCCGGAGCGTAAGCCGCTTCGAGAGCGTCCAGGTCGCGGGTTTCTACAGCCTTCGACCAGGCTGAAATCACCGCCCGGATTTCGGCTTCATCCTTGGTTGACGTTGTCGTTTTGGTTGTAGTGCTGGACATCTCCAGTCCTCCCTTCGCCATCAATATCATTCCGCAGACAGCCGACAGCAATTGTCCAAGCGTCTGATTCTTCAACTTCTGCTCACTAGTCGAACGGCCACACGGCAATTCGAAAGATTGATAAGAAATAATGCAGATGCTTCCGATGCTTACTTCGCAGCTGCGTCGCGGGCGGCGATCAAAGCGTTCACTTCCTCGTCAGCCGGGCGGATCTCAAACGGCCCCAGCTTCACCCCCGGGTGCTTCGACATCAGTGCAACCGCGTGATTCAGATCCCGGGCTTCCAACAGCAAGATGCCGCCTAGCATTTCTTTGGTCTCGGCGTATGGCCCGTCGGTCACGGTGACTTCACCGTTGAAAGAGCGTAGCGTCACCGCGTTTCGGGCCCCCTGCAGGGCCTCGCCACCGAGAAAGTGCCCGCCCCGCCGCAGCTCGTCGTCGTAAGCAAAGCACTCCTCCATCAGCCGCTGAGCTTCGTCTTCTGGCAAACTTTCCAGCTTGTGCTCCTCAATGAATCCTAGACACACGTACTTCATGATCCGTTCTCCAAGGCAATGATTCCGGCACGGTTATCCCATCACTCAGGCGTGGCATTCAACCAGTAATCGAACGGAAACTCTGAGAATCGACAGGGGCGGAAAAAAATTTCTTAGCTCAATTCCTGGATCCGTCTGGCCAGGAACCGGCGCTCGGGCTCCTGCTTGGCGAACTGCATGGCCCGTTCGTAAGATGTTCGTGCGTCGGAAGTTCTGCCCAGCCGGCGGCAGAAGTCGGCCCGAGCGGCATGGGCCAAGTGATAATCGACCAGATCGCCGCGGGCGAGAATCGCGTCCACCGCCGCGAGCCCGGCCTCGGGTCCATCCCGCATCGCCACCGCCACGGCCCGATTCAACTCGACCACCGGCGATGGCTCCGCCCGTAGCAGCACGTCGTACAAAGCGACAATCTGGGCCCAGTCGGTTTCGGCTGTGGAAGCCGCCTCGGCGTGAACCGCTGAAATCGCCGCCTGAAGGGTGTATCCACCTATCCGTCGTGAAGCCAGCGAACGTTCGACAAGCTGCTTGCCTTCGCGGATCAATCCCCTATCCCACTGCGTCCGGTCCTGATCCTCCAACAGGATGAGGTCACCATTGGCCGCCACTCGCGCCGTCCTTCGAGATTCGTGAAGGAGCATCAACGCCAGCAAACCCATCACTTCCGAGTCGGGTAACAGCTCGAGCACCAAGCGGCACAGTCGAATTGCTTCGCCTGAAAGATCAGCCCGCGTTAGCGACGAACCGGTTGATGCGGAATAGCCTTCGTTGAAAACCAGGTAGATTACCGAAAGCACCGCATCCAAACGCTCGGGCAAGTCGGGCAGCGAGGGAATCACAAACGGAATCTTCGCATCGCGGATCTTCGCCTTACCGCGAACGATGCGTTGGGCCATCGTTGAAGAAGTAGTCAAGAAGGCACTCGCGATCTCCTCCGTCGTTAAACCACAAACTTCTCGCAAGGTTAACGGCACCTGCACGCTCACCGAGATTGCAGGGTGGCAGCACGTGAAGATCAGTCGCAGTGTGTCGTCTTCAATACTTTCGCCAGCACGGGCCGCATTGGCAGCTTCGATCTGCTCAACACGGGCGGCAACCTCCTGCTGCATTTCGTTCAGACGGCTTTGGCGGCGGATGATGTCGATCGCCTTGAATCGTCCTGTGGAGACAAGCCATGCACGAGGATTCTCCGGAACTCCGTCCTTTGGCCACTTTTCAGCGGCCGTCGCGAACGCCTCGTGCATTGCTTCTTCAGCAAGATCGAAGTTGTTGAGCAGGCGCACAAGCGTGGCGTAAACGCGCCGCGACTCATCGCGATATACGTCGTCGAGCAGTTGCTTGGTCGAGTTCTCAGTGGTTTCTGTCATTGGTTCACTGTCTCGACGCACTCCGACCCGGGCTGTTTGCTGGAATGCTGCTGTGCGGATTCGTCACAATTGACATTGCTTCAAGACCAATAGTAATCTGTCACATCGCGAATCGAATACCACGCCGATTCTGCTGAACACTGTCGACACCTCAGAAGAACTTCTCTCCCATGTGTCCAGCATCTTCGTCGCAGCCTACTTCGACCCGAATCCGGGTACTATCCGTGGCGCTGGCCACCATGCTTGGGGTGCTGGGGGGTCTGGGTGTATTCACGTTTGGCTACGGTGGTGGTCACGCGTATCTGAGCAATAACCCCGCCTCGTGTGCGAACTGTCATATCATGCAGTCTGAGTACGACTCGTGGGTGAAATCAAGCCACCACAATTTTGCCACCTGCAATGACTGCCATTTGTCACATCATCCCATCGGCAAGTGGGTCACCAAAGCCGATAACGGGTTTTTCCATTCGCTGGCATTCACCACCGGCGATTTCAAAGATCCGATCCAGATCAAACCAAGAAACAGTCGGGTGACTCAGCAAGCCTGCATCTACTGCCATCAGGATCTAGTGAATCATATGCTACCGGCCGAGCAGGGTGGGGACATGCTCTCGTGTGTTCACTGCCACCGAAGCGTCGGCCATGCCCAGTCGATATCGCCACATCGTTAGGAATGCGATCCATGTATCCATCATCCCCTTCCCGCAACCTTGCTCGCACCCGCTCGGGAAAAGCCGGAGTTCTACTGCTGGCGTTCCTTGCGGCCGCCTTGGCAACCGGAATCGTCGCCTGGGTGCTGATTACGATGATCGGCCATAAACAAGAGGCCCAACAACCGTTCGTCCGGCTGGCAGAGGTATCAGAGATCTCGACCGATCCAGAACCGTGGGGCCGCAACTGGCCTCATCAGTTCGAAGGCTGGAAATCAACGGCCGGCGACCGCTTCTACGGCGGTAGTAGTGCCATGCCGCAGAGCAAGCTCGAAACATTCCCCTGGCTGAAACGGCTGTATGCAGGCTATGCGTTCAGCATCGACTACCGCGAAGCCCGTGGGCACGCCTACATGCTTTACGACCAGGGCGTGACCGAACGCGTGACGAAGAAGCCCCAGGCGGGGGCGTGCCTGCACTGTCATGGTTCGACCACGGTGCTGTACCGAAAGGTCGGGCTCGAAGCCATGGATCAAGATGCCAGCGAAGAGGTTCTCGCCGCCGAATTCAACATGCCGGCAGTGCAGCGTGGCTTTGAAGAAGTGAGCACCAAAACTTACGAAGAAGTTCTGGCCATGCTCAAGCAAATGCCCGACGGAACCCCCGGCGAGAATGAGCCAGTTTTCCCCGAAGCCCCTGCAGGCGGATTCTCCGGCGAGTTCGCAGGTGAGCCCGTACCGGAAGATCACCCCGATGTCGGTGAAGCTCACCCCGTTACCTGCATCGATTGCCACGATCCGCAAACCATGCAAATCCGCGTCACCCGACCTGGGTTCATCAACGGAATCGCGGCTCTGGCCGCGGGCGATGCCCCCGTCCCCCACTTGCCCAGCATCGCAAGATGGCGCGGCGGTGATCGCGCCGAGCCGTACGACCCCAATGCCGAGGCATCGCGTCAGGAGATGCGATCGTTTGTCTGTGGCCAGTGTCACGTGGAGTACTACTGCGCGAATAAGATGACACTGACCTTTCCCTGGTCGAACGGTTTAAAGATGGAGGACGAAGAGCAGCAGTGGGAAGAAACTACCTTCCCCGACGGCAGCGAGTTCTACGACTACAAGCACGGCGAAACGGGAGCCCCCATCTACAAAGTGCAACACCCTGAGTTCGAGCTTTGGAGCCAGGGCATCCATGCACGCAGTGGAGTAAGTTGCTCCGACTGTCACATGCCATATCAGCGCGTGGGTGCGATGAAAATCAGCGACCATGACGTTCGCAGCCCGCTGGAAAACATCAACGCCGCCTGTCAGAACTGCCACCACCAAAGCGAATCGGATCTTCGTCTACGCGTCGAGACCATTCAGGCCAACAACCAGCAACTTCTCGATCGGGCCGCAACAGCGATGACCGAGATGCTCGATGCGATCCTTTACGCCAAAGTCTCGGAGGCCTCTGAAGAACAACTGCAGGAAGCATACGAGCTGCAGCGGAAGGCGATGTGGCGACTCGATTACATCAGTAGCGAAAACTCGCGCGGCTTCCACGCCGATCAAGAGGCCGCCCGCATCCTGGCCGAGTCGATCGATTACAGCCGTCAGGCGCAGGCCCTTGCCTTGAAGATTCGCGCACCCGAACCACCGAGCATCGAAGATCTAGAAATCACGCCAGTGGAAGGCGTGACGCCAAATAACCCTCAGCGACTCGAAGCCGACTGATAGTCTCCAGTGCTAGCCCACGGCAGTTTCCATCCGCCCATCGGTAAGATCTGATCCCCTGGACTCGACTAAGATGGGGCCGGTGAACCTTTCAGTTGACTCGCCTGTCGGGTTTGACAGAATGGTCGCCCCACTTCGCTTCCCAGCACCACGCGAGTCACGCCGATGGCAAACCACCTTTCGATGGATGAACTCACCGCGGGTTTGCCACAGATTCTTGAATCTCCCAAATCCACAGGCCAGTTGAAGGCCATCGTCGTTCGTCCAGAAACCGACGCCAGACGCTCACTCGAATCTTGTGAACTCAGCCCGGAGGGTGGCGTGCATGGCGACAATTGGGCCTTAGGCTGCTGGAAAAGCCTTCCCGATGGTCGCCCACATCCCGACGTTCAAGTCGCCATCATGAACGCCCGAGCAATCGAGCTGATTGCCGGCTCCCCCGACCGTTGGGAGCTGGCCGGCGATAATCTCTACGTTGACATGAACCTCAGCGATGAGAATCTTCCCCCAGGTCAGCGATTGCGGATCGGCTCGGTCGTACTCGAAATCACCGGTGAGGCCCACAACGGATGTAAGAAGTTCGCCAATCGATTCGGCACCGACGCAGTGAAATTTGTGAACTCGCCCGAAGGGAAGAAGTTCCACCTGCGAGGCATCTACGCCAAGATCATCGAAGCAGGTGTTGTCACCGTCGGCGATGAAATCAAGAAACTCTGAAGCAGCGCAGCCTGCTTATGAGCGTCATCTTCACAAGTGTCATCACTTCGCTGCGCCCCTTTGGGGTGGTTCCGCGCTCACCAACACATCGATGTTGGGTGATCCATTTCTTCTTTGCCGAACTCTTGCTTCTCGGACTCGGCGGTCCACTTTCTCTTCGCGCTTAACGCACGCGCTTTCTTGCGAAAGAAAATTTGCTGGGGGTTTTGCGAAACGTTATAAGGAATGACGGACTCTGGGTCAGGGCGACGGACAGAGAACACAAGGAGCAGGGATATGACAGGCCGGATTGCGTTTACGATCGCTATCACGATTTGCTCGGCAACTCTTGCTCAGTCGGTGCGAACACCGAATCGCGCCGACGCCGAGGCGAGCAAGCTCATCCAAAATGCCGCCGCGGCCGACACCCAGGGCGACAACGAACTTCGCAATACGCTCTTGCGCGAAGCATTGGAACTCGATGCCAACAACGACTTGGCCCGTTGGCAAAGCGGACAGATTTACTTCGACGGCGAGTGGCGCTCCATCGACGAAGTTGGCGAATACGTCAGCAACGACCGGCGCCGCGACGAATACCGCCGCATCGTGGCCGGTCTCGACTCAAGCCCGAAAGCCCACGAGGCGTTGGCCCGTTGGTGCGCTCGGCACCATCTCGCCGGAGAAGAGCGCTGGCACTGGTTGAACGTGTTGCAAGCCAATCCCACACATACCGCGGCATTGGAACGACTCGGGTTTGAGCGCTACGAAGGGCAGATCTACCGCAAAGAGCAAATCGCCGAGCTGCGCGAAGCCAAGCGAAACATGCGGAAGTATCGCCCCGAGTTCGAACGGATAGTGCGAACCGCCGTGAATCGCGAAGGCGCCGAGCGTGAAGAGTTGCTAGCTCAACTGGCTTCCGTTTCCGACCCAGCCGCAATCGCCGCCCTCTCCGAAGCTGTTCGTGTGGACAAAGGTGATCGCTGGCGATTGCAGCGAACGCTGGGTGAGGAGGAAGCCAACGAGTTCATTCAGAGTCTACACCAGTCGGCAATCACGGCGCTATCGAGTATGCCCGAATACAACGCCACGGTGAAGCTGGTTGAAGTGGCCGTGCTCTCTGACGATCCCGAGATACGACGTCGCGCCGCCGAAGCCCTGATCCCCCGCGATAGAACCGACTACATGCCGCTGTTGATGGACGGATTGGAGTCGCTGCTCGAACTTTCAGTGCGAATCGATACCACCCCAGGCGGGGCTGTTCAGATTGTTGAAGAACTTTACGAAGCCGGTCAGAAGGTCGATCGCTCGAGCGTGCGAACCACCGATTACCTCACTTCGCGCATCACTCGTGAAGAAGATGGTCGCATCGTCGTCGACAATCGCACCGCAGAAGATGTAGCCAAAGCCGACGCCCACGCCAGGCGTTCAGAAGAATGGGTCGAACAACAGAACGAGGCCCGCCGGCAATTCAATGAGCGGGTAGAAGAGGCCTTATACACAATCACGGGGCTCTCCCTGGGTTCCGACGCCGAACGTTGGTGGAAGAACTGGGGGGACTATAACGACATGGAGTCTTCCTACAAGAAGCCCGTCATCGAAACGGCATCGTACGACAACTACTACAGTCGCGAGTTCCGTGATGAGTTCCAGGGTGGAACCGTGCCCGAGTGCTTTGTAGCTGGCACCATTGTCTGGACCCAAGCGGGACCGAAAGCGATCGAGAACATCGAAGCCGGCACCTTAGTGCTGAGCCAAGATCCCGTCACTGGTCGGCTCGACTATCGTCCGGTGCTGGATACCACCACGCGTCCGCCAACCTCGGTTGTGAAGATTTATGCTGAGGACCAAGAGTTCATCGCTACCCGCGGCCACCGCTTCTGGGTTTCCGGCGATGGCTGGCGGATGGCCAAGTTCCTCAAACCGGGTGATCGAATTCACGGTGTGAGTGGCTCACTCGAAATCACCTCACTTGAAAGCGTGGAAGACGCGGAGGTGTTCAACCTGGTGGTCGACGACTTCCACACGTACTTCGTCGGTCAGCGGCAATTACTCGTTCACGATGCCCAACTACCGCAACCAACGACAAACATTCTGCCCGGCATCCAAGACCGCAGCCAAACCACATCTCGCTAGCACCTGGAGACACCAAACCTCGAGGTGCTGCACCTTCGCTGCGACAGTATCCGATCCTCCTTCCACCCTAGTAGGCCTAGGGCAAGGTATGCACTCCGGGTAACAGGCCGATGGCAATCTGGCGGGCGCCCCGTGGAAACCACTTCTGTTTCGGACTCGCCATTCAACAACGGCATGTCGCTCGCAGACTTAGCAAGGTTGGCGGTGCGATCCAATCCCAGGCTCGCAGCCCAACCGACTTACAAGCAGGTGAACCTGTCGTATCTCGATGCCTTACGAGAACTTAAGAACGCATAAAGCCTGAACTTTTCCGCCATAGTCTGAGGGGTTACCAGTGACGAAGCCTAAGTTCGCGTTGCTGGGGTCCCGGCATCTGCGTACGATGTACGTAGCTCATCAAGGAATCTGAAATGTTTGCTCGCATCATATCACTCGCACAGGTGGCAGCCTTACTCGCTTGCCCCATGGGGTGCACCTCTGGCACTTGCTTGGGATGGTTCGTATGTGCGAGCGACGTTTCTGGCACTAGTTCTTCAGAAACAGCTTCAGCAGAAGCTTCGGAGCAGATTTGCCACTGCTGCTGCAATCGCTCTACGGGAGAACAAAAGACCCCCGCACCGCAGCGCTGCCCCGACGAAGCTAGTTGCCAGGGAATCTGCGGGGGCGCGGTTGTTGAGAAGTTGGTTGAGCTAGATCTACCAGAGTTTGCCTTCCTGCCACTCACCATTGAACCCGACGCAACTCTTGGCATCGGGCATTCGGTTCTTTCGACGATGCCCGACCCGCCATGTCTTCCCACGGTCAATCATGGCCGCTTCGTGCGCGCACTGCGCTGCTCTTTCTTGTGTTGAAGCCTGCAGGAGCGAACTGTTTGGGCTAAGGCCACGCAGCCTCGCGTAAGAGCAGTTCGCAACGCTTTCTCCTGAATTCTCGGTATCAGTTTTCGCTGCGCCGACGTCGTTCCCACTGGCTTCGAGAATAAAGCACTCAGCGCATGGTGTTTCGTCCGCTCCCTTGGGAGTACGCAATTCGCAATCTCTTCCGTCGCCCGTTGCGCACGTCGCTCACCTTTGCGGGCCTGACGACGGTGATTGTATTGATTCTGGTCGTCGTTGGATTTGTGCGAGGGTTAGAACATTCTCTGGCAATTAGCGGCGATGAAGAGACGGCCGTGGTTTTTTCGCTAGGGATGGGTGAGAACTTCGAGTACTCGTCGATCCCAATGCGGACCAGCGACTTGGTGCCCGCGAGCGTGCCAGGCATTCAACAGCGGTTCGGTCAAAAGTACGTTTCGCCCGAGCTGTACTTGGGGACTGAAGTCGTCGTGGGTGAGCGAGAACCATCGATGGGTCTTGTCCGCGGGGTAACCCGACCTGCGTTGCTGGTTCGCCATCAAGTGGAAATCGAAGAGGGCATATGGCCCGAAGCGGGCGAAGTGATGATTGGCCGCATGGTGGCCACCAAACTCGGAGTGATGGCCGGGGAGATGCAGCCCGGCGAGACAATCGACTTCGAGGGCCGTACCTGGAGGATCAGTGGCATCTTCTCGGCCGGTGGTTCGGCGTTCGAGTCCGAAGCTTGGTGCCGCCTCGACGAGTTGCAACAAGCCATGAAACGGCAGGACCTCAGCATCGTGGCGCTCACATTGGGGCCCAGGGCCGACTTTGAAGACCTGAACCTGTTCTGCAAAGAACGGCTCGACCTCGAGCTGCAGGCCATGCACGAAACAGAATACTACGCCTCCCTTCAAAAAGATTACGCTCCCGTGCGGTGGCTGGCATGGCTGGTCGTGCTGCTTGTCGCCGGGGCAGGTGTGTTCGCAGGGCTGAACACCATGTACGGCTCCGTCGTGGGACGCATCTCAGAACTCTCAATGTTGCAAACCCTGGGTTACGTCCGCAGAGCAGTGCTGGTCAGCTTGATTCAAGAGGGCGTGTTAATGTCGGCCGCGGCAAGTTTGCTCGCGGTGGCCATTGCCTTGGTGTTCGTGAACGGGGCCGCAGTGAGGTTCACCATGGGTGCCTTTACGTTACATGTCGACAGCATCGCGGTGCTGATCGGTTGCGGTGTCGGATTTTTGCTCGGATTCTTGGGGGCGATTCCCCCGGCAATCCGAGCCCTTCGCATGCCCATCGTCGATGGGTTGAAATCGGTATGAACTACCCGCTGGCCACACGGGTGGTCGGCCTAACTCAGGAGATAGAAAATGAAACCTATTGTCTTATTCGCGGCGTGTCTCGTATGCACAGGGCTCATGCTCGGATGCTCGGAGCAGGGCACGCCCCCAACTGCCACGCAAACGCAATCTTCGTCCGGTCCTTCAGCCGAAGGTGAACAGTTTCTGTTGGCCGCCGAACCGGCCGGCGTGAACGATGTGATCAAGGTTCGCAAAGAGGCTCAAGACGGCGAGGACGTGGTGATCATGGGTCGCATCGGTGGAAGCGAGAACCCCTGGATCGATGGCCGCGCGGTGTTCTCAATTGTCGATTTGTCTCTCAAAGCATGCAGTGACATTCCCGGCGACACCTGCCCCGTGCCCTGGGACTATTGCTGTGAAACCCCGCAACTTCCTGAAGCCACTGCGTTGGTAAAGGTTGTTGATGACGGTGGCGATATCGTGAAGGCCGACGCCCGCGAACTGCTGGGCGTGAAGGAACTTTCGACGGTCGTCATTAACGGTAAAGCTCAACGGGATGACGCCGGAAATCTCACTGTGTTGGCCAAAGGAGTATTCATCAAACAGCAATGACCGAAACCTTGAAACAAGAAGTTGATCTAGGCCAACTGGCCATCGACCGTGGCGACGTGGCAAACAAACGTCTTCGTCCACGGCGGCACGTACTTACCCGGTACGTGCTGCCGGCGGGGCTGTTGCTTGGGTTCCTATCGCTGATCGCATGGGCAGCGTGGGATCTGGTGTTCCCGCCGCGGCAGGTGACGGTGGTGCCGGTGCTATCCACCACAGCAGAGGTTCGACAGGGGGGAACTCCGTTGTTCCAAGCCGCAGGTTGGATCGAACCGCGCCCAACCCCGGTTCGTGCAGCTGCGCTCGCCCCCGGTGTGGTCGAAGAACTGCTGGTCGTGGAAGATCAACCAGTCACCCGCGGTGAGGCCATCGCCGAACTCATCAAAGACGATGCCCGGCTAATTCTCGAACGCGCCGAAGCCGATCTCGAACTTCGCCAGGCCGAACTCGACGAGGCCTCGGCGACCCTCACGGCAGCAGAGACGCGACTTGCGCACCCAGTTCATCTTGAAGCTGCCCTTGGCGAAGCGGAAGCGGCGCTGGCGAAACTGAAGACTGAGCTAAAGAACTTACCCTTCGAACTCCGCCGCGCTGAGGCAGAATTCGAAGCACTACAGAAGTCGGCCGAGAGCAAACAAGCCGCCAAGGGAGTGGTTGCCGGAATCGCCATCGACATTGCCGTGAGCGAAGCCGATGCGGCACGGGCACTCGTCGAGGAACTCACAGATAGGGCTGAGTCACTCGAAACTGAACTGGCCGCACTGACCACTCGCCGCGATGCTTTGAAGACCCAGTTGGAGTTGCTCGCCGATGAACAAAAAGCCAAAGGTGAAGCGGAAGCCAGAGTCAAAGCAGCACGAGCACGGGTGGCGCAAGGAAAGGTTGCCCTCGCCGAAGCGAAGCTGCAACTCGAGCGAATGACGATTGTTTCGCCGATCGACGGCCGCGTCTATCGGCTCATCGCCCATCCCGGCACCCGAATCGGCAGCGGGATGACTCACATGCAAGGGCACGACGGCAGCACGGTCGTTACTCTCTATCGCCCCGATAGGTTACAGGTTCGGGTCGACGTCCGCTTCGAGGACATACCCCAGGTGAGTCTGAACCAACCGGTGGAGATTGATAACCCAAGCTTGCCTGGACCGGTCACTGGACACGTTCTGTTCATTAGCTCCGAAGCCGACATTCAGAAGAACACGCTTGAGGTAAAAGTCGCGATTACTGATCCGCCTCCTGTATTCAAGCCGGAGATGTTGGTCGATGCGACCTTCTTAGCCCCAGAACAGCCTGGGCGATCGACGGAACCTTCGCAAGAAGTGCGGCTATTTGTGTTGCAGCAGCTCATCCAACGCGATGATGGCGATGCGTACGTTTGGGTGGCAGACCAATCCACTGGAACGGCTAGGAAGACACCGATCCAGACTGGGGCAGTTGGCTCCAACGGTTTGCAAGAAGTAACCGCCGGCCTGACCGCAGCGAGTCGTATTATCTCCCGCGGAAGCGATGGACTGCAGGATGGTGACCGAATCGCAGTAACCGGGGAAGATCCGTCACTAGGAACAAACTCTACCGGAGATCATCCATAATGGCCCTCATCGAAATCCGAGATGTGACGAAGACGTTTCATAAGGGCGAAGAGTCGATCACACCCTTGGACGCGGTCTCGCTGGATATCGAGCAAGGCGAGTTCTCGTCGTTGATGGGAGCCAGTGGCACGGGAAAGTCGACTCTCTTGAACCTCATTGCAAGTATCGATCGCCCCGATTCCGGCAGCATTGTGGTCGATGGCACCGATATTACGCAGCTCTCACGTACCAGGCTCGCCAACTGGCGGGCCGCCAACCTGGGCTACATTTTCCAAACCCATAACTTGGTGCCCGTGCTCACTGCGTATGAGAACATCGAATTACCATTGATGCTGTTGCCGATGTCGCGTAGTGAGCGACAAAAGCGAATCGAGATTGCCCTGGAAGCAGTCGACCTGCTCGATCGCGCCGATCATTATCCACGCCAAATGTCCGGCGGACAAGAACAACGCGTCGGTATCGCTAGGGCCATCGTTTCGCACCCAAAAGTGGTCGTCGCCGACGAACCGACGGGCGATCTCGACCCAGACACCTCCGAGCAGATTCTTAGCCTGCTGCAACGGTTGAATGAACAGCTCAATGTCACACTGCTGATGGTGACCCACGATGTTGAGGCCGCACAAATTGCCCATAAGCAGTTTCGCCTCGACCGCGGAAAGCTCGTGCAAACCGGTGGCCCCATGTCAGAACCCGGCCTGGTTCATCAAACAACCCAAACGGCCCCTTAAAAACCAAAGCTGATTGTCATGCTCAAGTTTGTCCCGTACACACTGAAGACTCTCTGGCGGCATCGCTCACGTACGATTCTCACCGTGAGTGGATCGGCGGTTGCATTGTTTGTGTTCTGCTTTGTCGGGGCAGTGCAAGAGGGGATGAACGACTTACAGAGAAGGCAAGCTGCTAAAGGGTCGCTCATCACGTTTCAGGCCAACAAATTCTGCCCAGCTACCAGCCATCTGCCCCAGGACTACGATCGCCAGATTCAGGAACTATCGGGTGTTCGGGAAGTGGTCCCCGTGCAAGTGTTCACGAATAACTGTCGGGCGAGCCTTGACGTGGTCGTGTTCTATGGAGTTCCGCCCGAGAAGCTGCGTATCGCCCGCGACTTCGACCTTTTGTCGGGGAATTGGCAGGAGTTCGAAGAACACCAGGACGCTGCCGTAGTGGGCCGCGCCGTGGCGGCCCGCCGAGGAATCAAACTCGGCGACAAGTTCTCCATCGGCGACTTGAGCGTAAACGTCGCCGGGATCTTCACCAGTAACGACCCTGCAGAGGAGAACTACATCTATTCGCACCTTGAGTTTCTGCAGCGGGGGAAAGGCATGAACCTGGTGGGGACCGTCACGCAGATGGAAATACTTCTTGCTGAGGGAGTTGACCCTACGAAGAAGTGCGCGGAGGTCGACGAGCTATTCCGCGGTGGTCCCGTGGAGACCGATACGCGCCCCAAAGGCGTATTTCAGGCGAAGAGCCTGGGCGATCTTACGCAGTTAATCGGCATGGCTCATTACCTGGGATACGCCTGCGTAGGGTTGGTGCTGGCCCTGGTGGCGACGACCACGGTCATGTCGGTCGAAGACCGTATTAAGGAGCATGCCGTACTGCAGACCATCGGATTCTCTGGACTGAGGGTCTTTTCTCTCGTAATGACCGAGAGCGTGCTGCTAAGTATTGCCGGAGGAATCATGGGCGTCAGCGCGGCGATGCTACTCCTGAAGCTGAGTAGTCTCTCGGTCGGTGCCGAAGCGGTGACGATCGCCTTCACCCCATCACTTCGCTTAGCACTTTCAGGCCTCATCGTCTCAGCCATCGCCGGCACGCTCGCCGGGATTGCCCCAGCGATTCACGCCGCGCGAACCGACATCGTCCCCGCTCTGCGGCAGGCTTGATGCCGATTTAGTACACATCACGCTGGTAGCGGTGTTCGGCACTAAGCCGATCGACATACTCTGCGGCCGAGTCGATGCTCATACCGCCGTGACGGGCGATGATGTTCTTTAGCGCGGAGTCGACGTCGTGAGCCATCCGCGAAGCGTCGCCACAGACGTAAAAGTGGGCTCCCTCTTCCAGCCAGGCGAAAAGTTCGGCCCCGGCCTCCAGCATCTTGTGCTGCACATAGACTTTCTCTTCTGAATCGCGCGACCAAGCCACATCAAGACGCGTAAGCGAACCGTCTTCGCAACAGCCCAACAGCCAATCGCGGTAGAGGAAATCGCAGTCTTCGTGCTGATCACCGAAGAAAAGCCACGACTTCCCGGCGCGACCCACGGCCATTCGTTCTTCCAGAAACGCGCGGAAGGGTGCGATCCCCGTGCCGGGCCCAACCATGATGATCGGCACCTTGGGATCGTCGGGCAAACGAAAGTGGGCCGACTTCTGCAGATAGACTTCGACCGAACAGCCTGGGTTGAGTCGATCGGCGAGATACGTCGAGGCGACCCCCTGTCGATCGCGACCGTGCATCGAGTATCGCACGGCGCCCACGGTTAAATGCACCTGCTCGGGATGGGCCTTCGGGCTGGACGCAATCGAATACAGCCGCGGCTGTAACGGACGCAGCGAATCGACCAGCGTTTGCGCATCAACCGTGGGTGCGAACTCCGTTAGAAGATCGATCAAGTGCCGGTCCCGTAACCAGTCTTCTTCGACGGGCAGCTCCAGCTTCTCACGCACCGCCGGGGTGAGGACATGCAGATCGCACTTTCGCAACAAGACCGCTCGAAGGGGCCACTGTTGCCCCTTGAACGTGACACACTCTTCGCCAGAGAACCCTCCGGCGTCAAGAATATCCTGCACGCTCTCAAAACAATTCACTGGCCACAGCCCCAGCGCATCTCCGACTTCGTACTCCAATCCTGACCCGGCTAAGCTGATCTCCACATGGTTCACCTCTTTCGCCGAGCCGGGGCCGTTCAAGTTTTGCACTTTCAGCAACGTAGCCGCAAAGGGGTTCGTCTTAGTCCAACTCACCGGGCTCGAGGCTTCATCGACTTCTTCCGCTTCAATCAATTGCCCGCCGGCGTCCTTGGCAACTTCGATCATCGACTCGTGAGTGAAGACCGCTTCCTTCCACGTTGCGAACGCATCATCGTAGTCGACATCGCACAGTGCACAGTCGGCAACCCGGGTGGCACCCAGTTCTTGCAACCGCCGGTCGATATCGATACCAGCCTTGCAATAGAACGTGTAGCTTTGATCGCCCAGTGCGCAGACGCTGTAATGAAGGTTTGGCAACTGAGGGGCAGCGTCTGACATCAACCAAGCGGTGAACTTTTTGGCGTTATCTGGCGGATCACCCTCCCCGAAAGTAGAGCAGATAATCAGTAAATGCTGAATATCTTCGAGTGCCCCGAAATCCAACTCGTCCAATGAGCACACATTGGGACCGAACCCCCGGTTGCGAGCTGTTTTGCGGAGATCTTTCGATAACGCCTCGCCGTTACCCGACTGCGAGCCATAGGCGATGGTCAGCGGAGCACCTGGTGCGTTGGCCTTATGTTGGTTGGAAACCTGTGCACTCCGCAAAGTAGAAAGCGCGGTCAGAAACCCTTCGACAAATCGTCGCTGTCCGGTATCAAAGGGGGCTTCGCGTGCAATCAGTGTTGCGCTCATTGTGACACTCGTATTGTGAATGAAGGCAGGAAAAGCAGAACTAGGTGACGACCGGTTGTTGAATCTTGTAGGTCGCCACATCGGAAGTTTCAGTCAACGCTCGCGCCGCCGTTTGCTTTCCGAGATAGACAGCCTGCGGCGAAAGAAACATTTCTTGTAAAACTTTGCTGTCATGCCGCCGCACGAACGAAAGAAACGATTCTTCTGGTTCGCGGCGAGACAGGTATGTTGCAATGACGCCGGTGAGAAAGACATTCAGTTCGTCGGCTGGCACAGGACCGTGTAGAAAGCTAGCGACACCTTGATCTCGATCGCAGCCGCCGCCGAGGAAAACCTGATAGGCCTCGCGACCGTCCTCAGTCGAGGCCCCCAACAGCCCGATATCCCCGATGTAGTGTTGCGCGCAGCTATTCACACAACCGGTGAGATGGATGTTGATCGGCTGATCGAGTTGAAACCGCTCCTGCAGGTGAACCACAGCGGCCTGAGCATGTTCTTTCGTATGGGTAGAAGCGTACTGACATGCGAACCTTCCCGTGCAAGCCACTACGCCCGCCGAAAAAGACGAAGCCGAAACATCGAAGCCCAAACGACGAATCGCCGCAACGGCCGGCTCGATGTTCTCTTTGGTCACATGCGGAATGAGCACGTTTTGCCAAACGGTTAGCCTCAGATCGCCTCTGCCATACTGCTTGGACACCTCGGCCAGACCGCGCATTTGCTCGCCGGTCATCCGCCCCAGCGTGAGCGACACGCCCAAGTAGTGCAGATCGGTTCCCAACTGCGGGTGAACGCCAACGTGACCCTGCCGGTCGATTGCCCCGCGGGGCTCGAGGGCCTCCTCAGGAAGTCGCAACAAGCCGAAGTTCAATCGCTTTTCAGCTTCGAGCGTGAATTTTTCGTGGCCCCACGCATCCAGAAGGTATTTCAGCCGAGCCTTCTTGCGGTTGGTGCGGTCGGCATTTTCGATGAACACCTGCAAGATGGCCAACGCCACATCGAGCGTCTGCCCTGGGGTGCAGGCAAAGCCCGCAGAAATAGCGAAGTCGCGATGCCCTGTGATACCACCAAGGAGAATACGGCATACGATTCCGTCGGGAGCCACTTCACGAATCTCAGGAAGTGAGTCGAGGTACTCCTCCGAAACTCGTTGAGCAACAAACCCGATGTCGTTGGTGTCGGCCACCGAAGAAATCGTGCCCCCCCCATCGAATGCAATGTTGAACTTGCGAGGTATTCCATGCAGCGACGGAGTATTGAGAATGTGATGATGCAGGCGAACGGCATAAGGGCTGAGTTCGATGAGTTCCTGCGGGTCGAAGCCAGCCGTGGGGTTGCAGGTAATGTTTCGCACACTGTCGGCACCGCTTCCCTTACTGGTAAGCCCCAGATCATACAGACGTTCCAGCAACTCAATGATGTTCTTGGGGGCAATCTCACGAACCTGTAAGTTCCCGCGAGTGGTAACGTGGGAGTAACCGCCTGCCAACTCTTCCGCCAAGTCGCCAAGCCCAGCAAGTTGGTCGGCCGTGAGCTTGCACGCGGGAATCCGTAGACGACACATGAACCCAGGTTGAGCAGGTTCTACATTGAACAGACCGTGGTGCTTGAACATGAAGGCATCGCCACCCTCGGGCATCTTTCCCGCGGCTGCATGCGCACGCAGTTTGGGCCACAGTTCGTCGGGATGCTCCTCCAGTTTCCAAAGTTCCTGACTGCACAGGTCCTCCAAGGGCGTTCCGTATACTGCCTGGGGTTTACCCGAGGTTCCATCGCTCGGTGGCGTTGGTTTAAGCACCGCGGTCAAGTCGAGCTGGTCGAGGAGATTACCCAGGTATTCGAGTTGCTCTTCCGAAAAGCCCTCGAGTTGAGCAAGCGCCAGACTGTGCCGGCCTTCAGTTGCCATTGTCTTCACCTCGTTGATTATTCTTCAGCTGGCAAGATTGCTTGCGGTGGGTTAGCTCAAATGTCATCCCCGGTCTCCACACGTCGCAGGCGGACCGCGCAGTCCTTGTACGAAGGCTGTTTGGAATAGGGATCGAAATGGGCATGCGTTAGCTTGTTCGTTACGTGGTAGTGCATGGGAATGAACAGTTGCCCTGGCTGCACCGTTGGTGTCACGAAGACTTTCGCGCGGATCCGTCCACGCTGCGATTCGACGATCAAGTCTTGATTCGGTCGAATCCCCTCTCGCTTGGCGTCAGCGGGATTCATCTCCAAATAGACGTACTCGGGAGCCAACCGACGGAGAACCGGTGACTTCGCGGTACGGGTCTGCGTATGCCATTGCGCCGCAGATCCACGTCCGGTTAGTAGGAGGTAGGGGAACTTCTCACTTGGTTCTTCCGGCATGCGACCGGGGTCTTCGAAGAGAAACTTCGCCCGTCCGTCGGGATGACAGAACTTCCCGTCGGCGAAAAGCCGCCGCTGCTGCCAACGATCCAGTTCGCTTTCGGCTGTCGACTCTTCACAGTCAGACTGGGCCTTCTCCTGACGATCTCCCTCGGTAAACGGCCATTGAATCCCGCCACACTCGTCCAGCATGCGATAGTCGTCGATGCCTGTGATGTCGCACGGCTGTCCGGCGGAGAGTTGTTTCATCTTGTTAAACACGCTCTCCGGCGTGGTCCATTCGGCGAACATTTCGCCACAACCCCACGAGTCGGCAATCAGCCTGAAGATGGAAAAGTCGGACAACGCCTGGCCGGGTGCCCTGGCAACTTTTTTCAACAAGCCCACGCGACGCTCGGAATTGATGAACGTTCCATCCTTCTCCCCCCAGCCGGCGGCCGGCAAGAAGAGATCGGCCCGACGGGCCGTTTCGGTGGTCGAATACATATCCTGAACCACCAGAAAGTCGAGTCGGTCCAGAATCTCGTGACAGGTGTTCTGGTTGATCCACGAATGGGCCGTATTGGTGCAGATGACCCACAGTGCCTTGATGCGGCCTCGCAGGATACCCTCGATGATTTCGTTGTAGGCGTATCCGGAATTGTCTGGGATTACGACCGGATCGATCCCGAGAATGTCGGCCACCTTCTGGCGATGCTCGGGGTTGGCGAAGTCGTGCCCGCCCAACAGATTCGTGGTGTTGCTGAACAGCCGCGAACCCATCGCATTGCACTGACCGGTGATCGAGTTCGCCCCCGTGCCGGGTCGACCGATGTTGCCCGTCATCAAGGCGAGATTGATGATCGCCTGCGCTGTGCGAACGCCTTCGTAACTTTGATTCACCCCCATCGTCCACCAAAACGAAACCCGCTTACCGGCGTGAATCGTTTGGGCAACCTTCTCTAGCTGTTCGACAGGGATATCGCTAATCGAAGCGACGTACTCCGGCGTGAATTTCTCGACGTGCTGGGAGAACTCCTCGAATCCCGAGGTATGCTCAGCAATGTATTCCGCGTCAATCAGTCCGTCGCGAATCAGGATGTGAGCCAAGCCATAGAGCAAGGCCAGATCCGACTTCGGCCGCAGTGGTATATGCTGCGTGGCGGCCATCGCCGTTTCGGTGCGGCGAGGGTCGAGAACAATGATCTCGGGGCTGTGCTTGTTGGCCAACACCCGCTGCCACATGATGGGGTGGGCGATGCACAGGTTCGAGCCCACGAAAACCAGCACGTCCGATTCTTCGAAATCTTGATAGGTATACGGCGGGGCGTCGAAGCCGAAGGCTTGTTTGTAGGCCACCACGGCCGTGGCCATGCACTGACGCGTGTTGCCGTCGCCGTGTCGCATTCCCATACCGAATTTGGCTAACGACCCGAGGAAGGTCATTTCTTCAGTAGGAATCTGCCCTGTGCTGAGAAATGCCACCGACTCGTTGCCATACTTGGCTTGAATACTTTTCAACCGCCCGCAGAACTCGTCCATCGCGGTCTGCCAGTCGACCGGTTGCATCCGCCCTCGATCGTCGCGCAACAGCGGCGTGGTTCCACGATCGGCCGACTTCAGCACCGACAGGGCTTCCCACCCCTTGGGGCAAGCCATCCCACGATTGACGGGATAATCTGCGGCAGGGGTGAGGTTCGTCGCTTCACCTTCACGAAGGTGAACGTTCAACCCGCATCCGGTCGAACAAAAACCACACACCATTTGCGTGGTGGCATCTGGTTTCAGCTTGCTGGGCACTTTTCCCAGACCAAACTTGCCGGGTTCTAAGACTAAGTCTTGCGTTAACGTGCCACTGTAAGCGCGAAGCAGTGAATTCGCTCGTAGCGATTCGCCGGCGATAGTGGGAGTATTTACGGTGCTCATCGGGTCGGCCCTCCTGGCATTTTCGCAGCGACCGATGCGACGAAGAACAGGTATCGCTCGAGGAACTCTCCGGCAGCGAGCAGCGCGACGGAGGTCGTAGCGGCGAGGAGATAAAACGCGGTCTGGTAGGTTCCAGCGGACCCAACCGTGCCAGCCATCAAGACCAGAGGCATCCCAATGCCACCGACCAATCCACACGCGAAGCGTTGCATGGTGGGCTTGCGAAGTTCCCCGATCAGGAGCAGCGCCGTGCGACGACGGGCCGTGTACTGCCAATCTCGTAGATGAGCAAAAATGCCGAGTTCTAAAAGCAGCTTCAACGTGGTGACTGCCACCAAGGTGCGGCATAGCTTCGTGCCGTACTGCGACATCACGGCTGCACTACTCAGATCACTAACTGCCGATGCGGCCAACAAAGACAGTAACAATGAAATAGGCAGCCCCAAGATCAAACATGTCAGCAGGAACATTGCCGTCGTGCGTCCCAAAGTCCACAAAGGTCGACGACAATCAACGTAGATCATCACCGAACACATCACGGCCATTACTCCGGACAGCGACGCGGCCGCGCCGATGGCTTTCTGCCATGCCAACGGAACGTGATATCCGACCAAGTCAAGCGAAGCCGCTGCCACGTACAGCGTGGCCACCGCGGCAAACACATTGAACGCCAGAATCTCGCGACTGAGCCACGAAGTTCGCAGCCCCAGCAGCGCTCGATAGGCATAGAAAGGTCGGCCCAGGTGGAAGATGGCCGCCCCCAGCCCCAACATCCCCAGCGCCAAAGCGGCAGCCAGATGAACCGGACGAACCGTTGCGGCCACATCAGCACCTAGCCAACCTAGGAACGAATGCATCGCGTATTCGACGAAGAAAGCTCCAACCGACATTTGCGTGAGCACCAACATGATCACCAGCGGAAGGTGACCGTGAGCTTGTTGCACACTGAAGTAGTCGGCCGGCAAGACGTTGCGCGGCAAGACACGATCGGTCTTGTAGTGTGTAGTCGGGATAGTCTTGCTGGGGTCGGGAGTGCCGGGCAGGAACGGATCGAGTTCGCACTCCTCACGCACTGCTTCTTGGTTGACGATGCGAATTCGAATGGCGCCGTTGGGGCACGACTGAACACACGCGGGAGCCTCACCGACGGAGAGCCGCTGATGGCACATATCGCACTTGCGAACAATCCCCTTCGACTTGCTGTAGACCGGTACATCATAAGGGCACTGCAGCGTGCAGTACTGGCAACCGATGCACTGATCGTCGAGATGGCGCACGATTCCTGTTTCGGGATCTTTCTCGTACGCCTCAACCGGGCATCCCTTCAAACACGCCGGCTCAACGCAGTGGTGACAAGCGGTGGTCACATGCTGCACCACGGGTAGCTTGGTCGAGCCACCGACAAGCTGGCCCACGTTTCGCCACAGCTCGTTCTCTTCCAAGCCGTTCAAATTGTGGCAGGCCGCCACGCATGCCTGGCAACCCGAACAAGCATCGAGATCGACTTCGAAGGCGAATTGCTCGCCCTCGCCAGGAAGACCCGTGGGGATTAGATCGCGGTAGTACTTCTCCCCCACGGGGGTTTCAAGTTCAGCATGGACCTGCGAGAAACGTTCAACGGCGGTCAACTCGTGCTGCTCTTGTAACAGGAGGTCGATCAGACCGAGCGATTGCCGCTCGTCGACACCCTCGTGTTCCAGCACTTGATTGGCCATGAGAACCTTCCTTTCGCCGCTGTTCAGGCAAGCCCCGCGTTAAAATCACGCAGTACTCGGGACAAGGACAGCTCCGGTTTCTTCCAGCGAGGAGGCCGTCTCCTTGAGCACTTCAGTTTCGGCCTCGGCACTAAACCGTACGGCAAAGGTGAGGAACGAGCTGGCCGTGACCATCGCTCCCAAGATCAGCAGAGCGGTAGGCCAGTTAATCGCCTGGGCTTTGAATAAAAACCCGGCCGCAACCGCCCCGGCATTTCCCCCGGCGCCTACGATGCCCGCCACCGAGCCGAGTGCTCGTTTGTTGACGAACGGCACCACGGCGAACGTGGCACCTTCAGACATTTGGACGAACAAGCTGAACAGCAACATGGCGGGAAGGGCCAGCATCAGAACGTTCATCTGCGAGAAGAGCATCAAGAACAGCCCTTCAAAGCAAACCGCGATGAAAAGCCATCTCACACGGCCCGACAGTCCCCAACGCTTACCGAACACATCACCCACATATCCACCAAGCGTACGGGCGAAGAGATTCATCAGACCGAACAATCCGGCACAGAGCCCGGCTATCTTGGCCGCCTTCAGTGCGTCCATCGACTTGAAGTAATCGAAGTAGTCGAGAAAGTACAATGCGGCGATGTTGTTGATCGTCAGTTCGACACCGAAGCAGGCACCATAGATCACAAACAGGGCCCATACCCGGGAGTCGCGACAGGTTTCTTGAAAAGTTCCCTTAACGAATTTCTTGTCGGGCATTTTCCCGGAGGCACGCAATTCGTCGAAGTTGCCCTCGGGTGTATCTTGTGTGAAGAACCAATAGGCGACTCCGGTCAAGGCACAGAGAATACCCGCAACGACCATCGACATCCGCCAGCCCATTGCATCGCTGAAGCCGATGGTTCCAACCATCAGGGCGAAGAGAAGCGGCATCACGAGCTGCGTCATTCCTCCACCCAAGTTACCCCAACCTGCGGTGGTGGCATTCGCCGTGCCCACACAGTTCGGAGCGAACATAAGCGAGGTATGATATTGCGTGATTACGAAAGATGCCCCGATTACGCCGATCAACATACGAAACACTAGCAACGTTTCGAAGTTATGGGCGAGACCGATCCCCATGACCGGCAGTGAGCCCAACACCAACAGCCAAGTGTATGTTTTACGCGGACCAATCCGATCGCAGAGCCATCCGATGAGGAGTCTGGCCAATACGGTGACGGCCACCGAGCCGATGACAAGCCAACCAATCTGCTGCTTTGATAAGTCGAGTTCGGTTCGCACAAAGCTCATCAATGGTGCGATGCCAAACCAGGCAAAGAAGCACAGGAAAAAAGCAAACCACGACATGTGGAATGCCCGCATCTGCGGAGTGGAGAAGTTGAACAGTTGAATCTTGGTCGCCTTCCCGTTGGTCACCGTATCTCTCCTGTGGCTGAAATTTCGAATGCCGACGCCCATGCAGTGCGCCGGCCTGCGAGGTTGGAGTGGCCAGGAAGCACCTGCGATGCCAAAGCGGTAAGTTCAGCCAGATACTTCGGACATCCGAAGTAAACGCGGTGGAATCGGCAATCAGCCAGATGAAGAGCTGAAAGGCACCGCTACTTTTTTCAGCGGCCTGCTGAGGATCAAGGCAAACAGCCTTCGTCACGATTCGGAATTCCGAACCACCAGGAGCCTCAGAAGGGGGATCCCACTCGCCCACAAGTCACGTAACCCACTATCTAAAAAGCACTTGCACGCGGATACCTGCAGCATCCCCCAGCTTCGGGAACGTGATTTGCAGTTCCAGACCTGCTGGTCCGGAACGCTTCTTATTCGAGTCTGCATTCCTGCGATGGTCGCTCCAGGTATTCATACCCGAACTTCGAATTCCAAGGTGGATCGACACGCCCATCGGCTCGCGGCAAGCTTGCCGTGGCGTTATGGGATCATCCTTTTGGCCGTTGGTTTGCTGCTGATTATCGATCAGGCAGTGTTGCAGCCGCGGTTAGCACGCTTGAGTGTGTATGCCCCCCAGATCAATGTCTCCGGGCGACAGCGGATGCTTAGCCAGAAACTGGTTAAAGCAGCGCTAGCCATGCCGGCGGCTCATGACTCTGAACAGAGACGCCAAGAACTAGAAAGCACACTCGCACTCTGGCGCGCTTCGCACTACGGACTGTTGGACGGAAGCCAGGAGTTGGGGCTGCCCCCGACTACTTCCCCACAGATCCGTCAGGCATTCGCTACTCTAGAGCCACATTTCTTAGCGATGGGAGCAGCCGCTGAGAGATTAATTGCGGGAGAGCCCTCGCAACAGCAAACCGAGGTACTGCTGGAGCACGAGTCGTTATTCCTGCCGACCATGGACCGTATCGTGGGGCTCTACGAACAAGAGGCCCGTTCGAACGCCACCATGTTGCGCCTCCTCGGGTTTGCGGCTTCGGTGAGTGTGATCGGTTTGATGATCGCGCTGGGTCACTTCGTCCTACGGCCTGCCACTCGCACGATCCACGGCCAGATGGAATCTCTAGAAGATCGCGTCGCAGAACGTACGGCCGAGTTGACGTCGGTGAATCGCATTCTGCACCGTGAGATCACAACCCGACAGCAAGCTGAAGAACGTTCGCGGGAACTGTCTGGGCAGCTTGCTCATACTTCGCGAGTGATGTCGATGGGCCAACTCGCGACTGGGTTAGCCCACGAGATCAATCAGCCATTGGCCGCCATTACGAACTACGCCGACACCTGCAAGGAACTCTTGCGACAAGAGACTTCAGATCGCACACAATTAGAGCAGTCCATCGATTGGATTCGTCGCTCTGCAGAACGCGCCGGCGACATTGTGCGAGGTATGCGGAACTTCTTACAACCGGGACAAACACCGGTGAGCCAAGTCAAGGTGAACGCGTTGATTGAAGAAGTAGTTGCCTTGTGCCGTCCCGAACTGGAACGCAACCGCGTTGAGTCAGTTGTCGCTCTGACGACAGATCAAGTTATCGAAGTCTCGCGGATCCAAGTTCAGCAGGTTTTGGTGAATCTAGTACAAAACGCCATTCAAGCCATGCAACTCAGCCCACCAAGCAACCGCAGACTCGAAATCATCACTCAATTACACGGCGGCACAGTACAGGTTGAAGTGGTCGATTCAGGCCCCGGCTTTGGTGATCAGAATCCCGAGGCGATCTTCGAACCGTTCTACACCACCAAAAGCTCTGGCCTTGGGATGGGATTGGCCATAGCACGATCGATTATCGAAGAACATGGCGGACGTCTATGGGCAGAGAATCGGCCGCTGGGTGCCGCCGTCTCCTTCGCCTTGCCGTTGAAACAAGAGCCGGTCTTAGAGGTCGCCACCGATGCCCACTGTGTTTGTCGTTGACGACGACCCGGACATGCGGCATTCCCTTGAGGTGTTGCTCACCGCGTTGGGACACGAGGTTCTCACCTTTTGCTCGGCAGCGCAGTTTCGCAACCACTATCAGGCAACCATGCCAGGCTGCCTTCTGCTAGACATCCACATGCCTCGGCAGAATGGGCTCGAACTCTACGAGGAACTGCTCGCAGCAGGCTGTCGTTTGCCGGTGATCTTCATTACGGCGCACGCCGATGTCTCGACAGCCGTTGCAGCCATGAAAACGGGAGCCATCGAGTTTCTAGAAAAACCCTTCGAAAGAGACGTCTTGAAAGACCACATCGCGAAGGCCTTGGAATTGGACACCCAATGGCGAGATCAGGCTGCGAAGTTGGCCGAGGTCGAGGGAAAGATCTCCAGTCTCAGCAGCCGCGAGCGCGAGACGCTACAGATGATTATCGAAGGTCTACCCAACAAAGTGATGGCGGTGCGACAAGAAGTGACCGAACGAGCCATCGAAATGCGCCGCTCTCGCATCATGCAGAAGCTGGGAGTCCGATCGCTTCCCGAACTGTTAAATGTTACCGTCACCCATCGCGTAATGAGCGAGGTTTACCGCTTGCAGAGCGAACGCAATCTATTTCGATAGAGTGTTTCTCAGGCTCACTTCTCAGGCGGAAAGACCTCCGACCAATCGTCTTTCATACTCACAACAACCCAACCGTATTTTGAAGCTTCGTCCAGGGCCCGGTCGAGCCGCCCGAAGTGCGAATCGCGATCGTAAGCCGCCTCGCGTTTGGCGTCGTCATGATGCAAGATCAACCCCAGCCGTGGCCCCGACCCCGTGGTGGTGTACTGCAGCATCTCGAAGTCACCATCGGAGTTGCCAAAAGCCAGGATAGGGCGCAGCCCGATGTGACGCTGAATTCCAACTGGTTTGCCCGATTTATCATCGATGAAATCAATCTCGGGCAACCGCATCACCACCGGTTTTCCTTTGTCTGCTTCGTACTCGAGTTTCATTGCGCTGCCCACGACCTGGTAGGGAGGGATCCCGTAAACCGGCAGCGTCCAAGGACGCATGAAATCAATCCCGCCACCAGACACGATAAAGGTCTTGAAGCCGTTGTCGCGGAGATACTCAAGCAGTTCGAGTTGTGGCTGATAAACACACTCCAAATAAGGTCGTTTGAACTTGGGATTCTGGGCAGTATTCAGCCACTTCATCACGATGGTTTCAAACTCTGCACAGCTCATACCCGACTGCGTAACAGCAGAGAGTTCCATCAGCTCTTTCCCTCCAGCAGCCCCCGCGGCTGCTAGATTGCCAGCCAACAGCGAGGCATACGGTTCTTTTTTCGACCACTCCGGGTGCTCGGGAGCGAGCACTTTCACACGATCGATAATGAATGCCAACTGAGTGTACATCGGCTGCTCAACCCATAAGGTGCCGTCGTTGTCGAACACCGCGATTCGCTCTGCAGCCGGAACGAAGTCGGGAGAACCTTCATCCGTAACTTTCTCGACGAAAGCCACGATGGCCTTCTCATGAGGTGTGTCGTTCCAAGAGGGTAACGGATCGGAAGTGGCCGGAGCCGCACAAATGGTTACGTATAGAACCAGACTCGATAGCGAATTCACGGGACCACCTCACGGTTTTTCGAAGGAACACTCTGTTCTTAGGGACTCACCGTCAGCGGTTAGGAAATCACTGATCGAACTTCTACAGCAATCGCCAACGGGGGTCTCAATATCATCAAAATCTTAGCTGAGACAACGGTCGCGTGCACCGGCATGGTTACGACACAACCCTTAGATTCGGCACGAATGCAACCTTTAGCCGCACTTCGCCGTCATCAACTTCTGCCATTGCGAGCAGAAACAAGGTTATCCCACACCGCAGACGAATGGCTCTATCAAGCAAAGACCTGACAAAGAAATCGGTCCTTTTCATCCTCTGGTAAGCCGGTTTGCACAAGGAGAAATGGGCCAGGCTTAACTGCCCACTCGGGTCAAAGCTTCGTCTTTGCCGTGTCCTAGAATGTACCGATTTAGCTGTTCCAGGTCGGCTGGTTTCACGACATAGTGATCGAATCCGGCCGAAGAAGCCCGCTGTAGATCATCTTGGCTGAGGCGTCCCGTAACAGCGATAAGAACTGCTGTTCGAAGTCCGTCGATCTTCCGCAAGCTTTCGATGGCTTCGTAGCCGCTCATATCCGGCAGCCCAAGGTCGAGCAAAACTGCCTCGGGAGAAAACTCCCTGGCCACATCCAAGCCAGACTGCCCATCGCAAGCGTAACGAACTCGATGACCTCGCGACTCGAGCAGCAGCGTCGTTGCTTTGCAGACTGCCAAGTTGTCATCAATCACAAGCACCCGCTTTGATACGCGTGAAGAGTCTGGTTCAGAATGCGTAGGTACAACTTTATCCGCACCGGTGCCGTTGTGCGATTCTTGCTGGTTCTCTACGGCACCATTGCCAGAAGCCCCATGCGGCCTCCGCAACTCTGCCCCCGAAGTGTAACGGGCAACCGTCTCTATCAACAGCTCGCGCGAAATGGGTTTCGTAATGTAATCGTCGCAGCCGCAGGCGCGGCACTTCTCGGCATAGCCTTCAATGGCGTGTGCCGTAAGAGCCACGATCGGGCCTTCGTAGCCAGACTGACGAAGTTGCTCGGTGGCTTGGAAACCATCCAGAACAGGCATCTCCATATCCATCACGATTATGTCGAAGCTCTTCCCTTCACCTTTTGCCTGGTTGACCAAATCAACTGCTTGTTGACCATCAGACGCAGTCGATACGGTCCCTCCTGCCTCTTCAATGAAACGTTGTGCCAGGAACAACACTTCGCGGCGGTCGTCCACCACCAGGGCAGTACAATTGAGTTGTTGATTCGATTCCTGAACCTGGGCACGTGTAAGGCGTTCGATCTTCGGTTCTACCAACGCAACACCCGTCAGGTCGCCTGTCGAGACAGTCACGGTGAAGGTGCTACCTTCTCCTACTTCACTCTCAACCTGAATCCCTCCCCCCAGCATCCGAGCAAGCCGACGGGTAATCACCAGCCCTAAACCGCTACCTTCGGTGTGTTCTCGGTCAGAGCCTTCGGCTTGGGCGTAGGGGCTGAAGATTCTGGTCTGCTGTTCCGGGGCGATTCCAATTCCGGTATCAATCACCTTCAACTGAAGCAATCGCTGGTCCTGCAGTAGCTTGACTGCGAGCGTAATCTTTCCAGTTTCGGTGAACTTGATCGCATTGCCCAACAGGTTGAACAGAATCTGCCGAAGTCGCTTCGGATCGCTCTCGATGGTTTCACAAATCGGTCCATCAAAATCCAGTTCCAACGCCAGCCCTTTATTGTTGGCCCGAATTTTGATCAGGTCGATCACATCCACTAAGAACTCGTCGGTGCGGAAACGGCTACGGTGAATCTCGACTTTTCCAGCTTCGATCTTCGAGAGATCCAGAACATCATTGACGACTTCCAGCAGG